AAATGACATAATTTTAAGATTAAAATTCAAGTACATCGCGCCACTAACACCTCTCTCTGTCGACTGACAGCAAAGTCGGGTCGCAAAACACGTGCGATTGCTGCTTCAACATGGCGACCAGTGTCGCTGTTCTCTTTACTTCCCCCCACTCGATCTAACAGCTGTGTACACACGAACGTGCTGTCTATCACGCGGGAAATGTAAAAATTTTGCTTGTAAACTTAACCGACCAGTAAATAAACTATTTTGTATCCTATTTAATTAATAGGCGGCCATTTTAATTATTGGAAGACTGATCAAGATAACCACAAATGTTAAATTCAAAATTGGAGCTAAATATAACGACTAAACTGTCCTATTTTTTAAGCAATACAATTGAAAGATGAATCAAAATTTTGATATAGTTTTAATTATATATATTGTAGCAAATTTGGGATTAAACTAATAGAGGTTAGGGAACTCTGTTGATAACCAAAAAAATAATTGGACGATTTTCTTTTGTTTTTTAGAAATATTTAAAACTTTATCAGTTATTTTGTTTCTTAAAATAACATGTAATAAAATAAATAAATAAATAGTTTGACTAAATAAATAATGGTAACTCGTTATTTTTTGATGTTTCTTAATAATGGATCTTGAAAAAATGTTTAGTAATGTGATTGAAACTATTTAAAAACTGTTTTCAATATGATATAAATAAACTCATCATTAAAAACTAAAGAAAAATATTCTTAATAACTTAAATTACTAAAAATTCTATACCTTTTTCCTCACCGGAAACATGAGTATATTTTTATGAATTATTTATCATGCTCTATTTCTTTCATTCATCAATGATTTTAATAACTCATTCAGTATATGGAGAATGCTAACGATTATAAAACAAACTCAACAAGTTATAATTAAGAATAATATTAAATAAATATCTAATTTAATTACAGAATATTATTTTTCACTCACTTGATAATAATTACATTTACTTAAGAACAAAAATAAATTTTCAGTAAATGATGTATATCTTTGAATTTTCCTTCTCCATTTTTCTTAGTCGTCCGTGACATTTACTCAATCCGTAACATTTAACGCTTTAAATAAATTATTTAGCAAACAGAAAGTGTGAACTAAGTAAGAAGACCACTAATATTTAATCAAAAGATAGACTAAGTATATTAACAACAATTCAATGTTATGAAATTATTTATTACTTGTCTTGATGCTAGAATTACTTCAAAACATTATATTAATTACTCCAAACCATCAACAAAGATTTTCTAGACCATGAATGATGAGAAAAAGAGTAACATTGAAACAATAAAAGCAATTAAACAACAAAATTGAGTAAGTAAATGAAAGAACTATCAAGTGCAGTTATTTTTCTTTTTTTATATTTACTATGAATGCAAAATGCTAAGACATTCAACCATTTTCCATTCTTTCCCTTCTACTATTAATTTTTTTTCCCTCGATCAACCGTGACATTTATTCAATAGAGTGATTTTTACTAAATTATCACAAATAATCATAGTCGATTATTCCTAACATATGTATTACATTTTATAAAATTAGAAATGATTAAAAATATTATAATAACATTGAAATACCTAGAAGACTAAGGTTTGTACTCTTTTGTAAAATTAATTCAGTACTACTTCAACAAAATTAGATTGTATAGTATGATAAATAATATTTACTTTATTATCAAAATAAATTGTAATAAATATTGACTGATTTAGGTCTTTTTTTCATCATTGAACTCATGATAAATGGATTAAGCAAAAGGACAACGGAAATCCGATTAACAAAATAAAAGTAGGATAAAAATACAAGTATCAACAGGTATTTGGCACGAATACTTGGAACGCTGCTTCACCGTCAAATGTATTAATTGAACATCAAATTTCAGTAAGTAAAACATGATTTACTGTGCTACTCAATTATATTCCTAATCATTATTTTATCTATAATATTTATATTAATATTGTATCATGTTTTGATTATTAGATCTTCATCAAAGAGTTAAGATGATTATTCTCTCAATGACTTTCATCATGGAGTTCAATTCCAGATCATGTTCAAGTTAAGAAATTACTGGAATTGTCATTTGATCTTCAATAAAATCCTATCCAATATAGAATTATAATTTTCATTAAATCTAGGTAGACTTTCTAGACCTAATCTATGTTAGATAAAATGATACAATTTTATTAAATTTACCATGCACTAGTATATTAAATGAGAAACTTAATAATGAAAGTTTGAAAAATACATGCTCAACCCTAGAGACTTGATCATGTTCTATTTGTACTCCAAAAAAATTCAGTCTAATAAAGGAAGATGATAAAGTTGTTAGAGAATGATAAAAATTTTTCCTAGACTTGTTAAACAAATGAAATGATCTTTTACAGAGAAATAAACTATAAATCTCTCCACTCCAGTCTTTACCATGAAAATATGAGCAGAATGTCTTGAATGATAAATTCTCAGCATTTCGATGAGCAATAAATAAATAGTAGAGATTAATTAAGCTGTTGAACAGTAAATAATGGCGTTGCAAAATACTGTATTTTCATCACATCATCAGCAAAGGCTTTCTATAATATCTTTTTTACTCACAGTCCGACTACTAACAACGGCATCGTATTGGGGCTTCCTCTATTCTGAGTCTCAATGTCTCGAAGCCCCAGTGAAAACGGTTTAGATGAAAACGATGGAAATAGCAACATGTGGGGCGAGTACATTAACTACAATATGTCGTGACGCACGAATTCTTACCCTTTTTTTCTTACTAAATTATGGATGTTTCAAATCCGTCGTTCTTATTGACAATAATAACGATTATTGTTATTGATGATTAGGTAGAACATACTTAAGTATTCATATTATTACAGTACCACAGTACCGTAAACTGTGCTATTTTTTGTTATAAATCACTTAGGAATGTGGATTCATCAAAAGAAAAAATACTATGTGAGTTGCACTACTTTTGTATATACATTAATATAATTCTTATATTGATGGAATACCTCGAAATCTTTATCAATATTCCGTCTCTGCTATCTTTAATCTTTCAAAATATTATAATAACTGAAAGCAAGTCACGAGACACGAAGTGTGTATCGAGTCTTGCCGAGATTAACCGAGACTGATCTAGCTGTTGTCAACAATGTTCGTAAATTTTCTGCGTTGTCACTTTAACTTGTTTATCTTTTATTTTGTTTCTTCATCTAATCAGTCAAATATTTTTAACTTCTCAATTAACTCAACTTCTCAAAATATTTACAATTGTTAAATAATATAACTATAAGAATATAATTAATTACATCAACGATTATTATTTTGTATAAAAATTGTTCAAAAATTATAACGTCTAGATAGGATTGATGCTTTCGTAATTGTGTTGAATCCGATTCTTACTTGCAGTTTTGCCCCCCACTTCTTTTATTTCAACTTTATTTCTTATTTTAAAAATACTTGTCGCTGAAATTTATCGCAACTTCAACTTCCACTGTATCATTATATCGTAATTATTCAATATAATGAATATATAATTAAATTCTAAAAGATGTTATTATATTTTTTCTCTAATTTTATGATGCGAAATATCAGAATTACATAAAAAAATATGATGCTTATCTGCTTTCTAACGAATTATTTTTCATTAAAAAAAATAATTTAATAAATAATAATGCAGTATAATTACTTAAAAATCAGTGTATTTCACGGTAAAACATATAACGTATCTCTTAAGAGTAGCATAATATGCACATTCTCATTCACACATTGCTCCTCTACTCTTTATTATCGATTTTATAAGTAAGATTTTTTTAATATGTATTATTCTTATGTATATATATCTTCCATCTTATCATTTAAAACTCTTTACACGTGCTATATAATATGCTTTTATGTCGTTAATAATATTATTTATTATAATTATTTTGAATTGATCTAATTTTTAAAGTCCGATGGGCCACAAAAAATATTTATTATCATCTACTGCACATAAATCATTCAAAAAATTATATATATCCATATCATATAAACCATAAATTTTCTAAATCATAGTTTAGTCCAAGCAGTATGTAATAAGTAAAAATACATCCGATGATTAATTACATTTTCAAGAATCGAGTTTTTTTTTTTTAATGAATACTATGGTTCTTCCTTAATGTTTTAGATGAAATGATTTAACTTATTACTTTATGAAACAATAAAAAATAAATTATGTGAAAATATTTCCTCTTTATTTTCTTTTTTTGCATAAATGTTTCAAAAAAAAAAAAAGAAGGAAAAAACATAATAAAATTCAGTGTAATCAATTGAATATGTGTATGACATAAATCCAAATACTTTAAATCAAATTTCTAAATGAATTATTATTCAAAAAAATTTGTAATAAATACAAAATAAAATAAAAAATTTTGTTCTTTTATTGGACTTTATGTTATTTCAAATATCTTTGATCTCCACTTTAAATATTTGTCAGTGACCACTCGTAAAATTGTTTTTCATTCAGTATTGACGCGTATGGTTGCAAAAAAGTTAAACAAATATTGAACGACTTATGAAATATAAACCATTACAGATAAAATGGGAGACAGTATGATAATAAAATTATATTAACAGTTGTTAATAATATTAAAGTAATTATTAAATATTGGAGTCATCAATTGAAATAATTTTTTAATTATTAACATTATTATTATTTATTATATTTATCGAATTTATTAATGGAGCATCTTATTCTTACAACAAAATACATCAACGTATTTTTCATTAAAATGAAAATATTGAATTGGACTCCAATTTCATGACAAAAATTTATATTATAACATTTAAATTATTTTTAATTGTACATTATTCTATTAAAATTCATCATACATACATAACTTTTTCAATAAAAAAAAGATTCAACATTGCATTATCTAAAATGCTTATGCAAATCATTTTTTTAAAGTTATTTTTACATTTTTATCCAATTTTTTAATCTGAAAATTAGTTGTCATATGTTGTTTCCAATACAACTGGCCATTAATTAACCATAAATATGATTAAAAAAGCCAAAAGTAATTTCGCACACATAATTAAAATTTTTTCAATTAATTATAATATTAAATACATCCGAAATTGACTTCATCATTCATTAAACAATATTTAAATTATAAAGATAAGATAGTTGGAATAGATGATCCATATAAAGAAATAAAAAATTATGTATTAGGTTTCTAAAAAATTAATCTAAAGTTTATGATCTTTTGTGATAAGACAAATTTTCATTACTTCTTTTTTAATGAATATAAATGTTTTCTTACCGAGTGGCATTCTAAGGCACATTTTAAAACGCGTCAATAATAAAAGTCGTATCTTCTTGTAATTTACTAGGTCACCTACTCATTACATATGTCGAAAGATGATTTTCATATTTTTTGTTTAGTAATTAATTTATTTTTAATCATATACTAATAACAATAGCAAATAAACACTTTCGACAGATATTATTACAAACAACTGAGATTTATTTTGAAAGCAATCTCCTCCATTTCGTATTCTACATTTTATTTTTCAGTTATTTGTAATAAGAAAAATAAATGATAAAAAAATGCGACGCAGGATTAATTTCGAAAGCTTAAAAAACCATTAAAGAGACCCATCCGCGTTTTTTTAGTATTTTGTGCCGTCGTTTAGTGAAATTTTTTTCATCAATTAATTTATAAGAATAATAATTATAATTGTTATAATAATAATAATTTTTAATAATCGGTTACTGGTCTAGGATCATGAGGAAACTATCAAAAGAGTAAAATAAACTAAAGAAAATTAATGTCTCAGTTTGCTTGCGTCGGAAAACAACTTTAGATATTGCAATAAATACAGTGTAGCAAAAGCACGGTATGCCCCGGCTAGGTTAGAATCTAGCTCTAATGTAAACAGCGGATGCATCATGTTTTCCATAACCAAGACGTTTGGCGTGCTTGTAGACCTCATTAGCTGCTGCGGCTAAAGGTAATGGTTGCTCTAATTGATCACTCATACCGAGGGAAAGTCTTAAATCTTTCTGCATATGTTGAAGTGGTAATTGAGTTGGGAATCCACCTTCAATGATAGCTAAAACAAAAGAATTTCATTAACACAAATTTCTTATTTCCATTACAACTACTTTAAGTGCTACAACATACCTTTTCCTTTATCTAATATCGCTGGGCATGCCAATGAAGTTAATTCAAGTACTTCAAGGACATCTTTTTGTTGAAGACCCGCACGATCTGCCAATGCCATACTCTCAGCGAGTCCAGCAAGAGTTACACCAGCCATCAGTTGCAGCACCAAATTCATTTTGGAAGCATTTCCTACTTCTCCTAGATAAAAGGTATTCTTGCCCATCGCTTCAAAGCACGAATGACATTCATCAAAAAGCGATTTGTCTCCCGCTGCGAGTATTACTAAAGTCCCTTCTTGAGCATGAGTTTTGCTACCTTGAACTTGAGCTTCAAGATAACGGCCACCTTTTGAATTGATTGCTTCAGCAATATCTTGAGATGTTTCTGCGTCAATTCCAGTCATCTCTACGTAGCCTTTGTTTGGTGTCATTTCTATCAAGACTCCACAATTACCAAATACCATCTGGAAATTAAATTTAAATTTATACATCACAATATAAAGCTAAAAGTTTAATTATATTAAATAATTGAAATATTTAATTTGACTTACATCTTTAGCAGCCTGTGGATCAGCAACACAAGAGAATGTAATATCTGCTGCCAACACAACGTCAGAAGGTGTTAGACCATGTTCAGCACCAGCCTTAATAAAGTCTGCACACTGCAAAAAAAAAATTAATTGTTTAATGATAAATATAAAAAATAGTGTTGCATGGAAAATTTCAAATATATTCCCGCGTTTACTTGATAATTAACGCCATCTGTAGATTTTTGACGAAACAATTTTTCTCGATCGGCAATTACTCATTTTAAATACGCAAGATGGCGTTAGTTTTCTAAGATTCCGCCATTTGTAAAATTAACCAAGTCACGTAACGCCAAAGATATGGCTTACAAAACGGCATGTTGACACTGCTTACGCCACATCATCAACTGTCGCCATTACTCCCTTTTTTAATGAACGCTTTCATCGTAAAAATCCGTAATTAACCATTTTCTTTATATTTTATTACATAATTTACTAGTTAAATAACTTAACTTTTTAATTATTAATAATGCACACTAGAAAAATAATATGATATAAATATTCTAGTTTGTAATCCACCTCATGGTTTCATGAATTTTACTGTAAATTAATGTTGATTTATTTATTATTTTTACAGGCAAGTATGAAGATAGTTGTATGTTGAAATGAAAAATTATCAGAATTGTTGATATATTATTGATGATAGGTGATGGAACCACCCCTTTTTCAATAATCAATTTTTTGTGTCTGTTATCATCAATTCACTATTATGTTGCTGAAAGCAGCTGGATAATTTTTTGTCGTGAACAAATGAACAAAACTTCACGTTATATATTATTTTACTATTTAAATATGGAAAAAATCAATGGATTTTTATTCTAGAATTGCTGAAGATAAATGGTTTTTTCAATAAAAAAAAACCCAATAAAAATTATCTACCATGATCATGAAGAATATTCTTGATTGTCTAATCATTTATTTACTGAAGCAATTCAAATTTTTTTCTTTAAACCAACATATAATTTTATATAACGGTAATTCCGATTAAATCTGTATAAATTTTTTACCATTTATCTGCAAAAATAGGTGTTTATCGTAGATAAACTACTTGGTATATAAGAAAAATGATGTTTATTGACATTTTTCTATCTTTAATTTTTTTTTTGTACTCTTGAGTAACTTTTTTGACCTAGAGACAGCTTTAGATGCATATAACATCTTACCACCATGTTATTATAACATGTCTCCATGCTATATAACAACTATAATAACATTCTTCAAGTACTAAATTAAACATCTTCAAGATGTTTTCATCAAATATTACTACATTTATTATATAAATACGTTAAAAATATTCTTTTAATCGTCCTCGAAATTCAGTAAAATGAATAAATCTAGATTTTGTCTTATCTCAGAATATTGACCTCAGTTCCCATTTCCATATCGTGGCATTTATAGTTTGTATTTTACATATTTTTAGAAATAGCTTCGTGAACGCATGGTTGTTTTTTTTTTGGTCATCAAAGTACGTAGATGAGTTCTACCAACATTTTGAGGTCGTTTAGAATGATATGTTCATTAAAAATGTAATTTCATTAGATGAATTAATTACATTTAGGAAACAACATATGGCACTCGTAGGCAATGGAGTGTGGGTATGTAAAGAGAGTTGGGAACGACATAACAGAAAATGTTCGTTGTATAGCTTGTACCAGGCAACTCGTGAGGAACCTTTATTTATTTCTCAACGTTGTTGCCACACTGGGCAATATTGATCGGCCTGTAGCTGAGTGCTCAACGAATGGCAACGCAGCCCGGATCCCAGCTGATTCAAGCTCTGCTTCGTTTTACCAAGACTGTGTGTTCTGTAGTGTGACTCCTATCCCTTCTTCCTGTCTAGTCTTCATTGCTTGTGATGCACTTACACAGTCTCATATCGAAATATCCGGAAACTTTCTATCACTCTTTACACTCAATACAATAAAATCCTTTCATCAGAAATCTTCATTTCACGTCTGACTTAGTTCAGACGTTTTTTATTTCTTTTTATCTTAACAAATAAATGGCACAGGAAATTATTTTTTAGCAAATTATTTGTTTCTTGGATAAATAAATAAATATATATGTACATGGTATGTATTGAAGTAATTGCTCTCTTCTTATGACCATGACCTCGTAGAGAGTAATGACTCAAACGACACTTTTATGACGGTTTCTTCTTTGAATATAAAAGTTCACTTTCATTATTTATTTCCTTGGAAAAGTCTATTTTATTTATGACTTTTTCTTAATAGATGCAAATTTTCATGCTCCATTCAACAAAAAATTATGAAAAAAATATTAATATAAAATATATCAATATAAAAATCTATATATCATTAATAATTGACGTAATTTATAATAAAGAATGTTGATTTATTTTATCATTCTTCATGATAAATAAAGAAAAAATATAAAATTCAAGTATTTACGTACGTTATCATAAACTGTATGATAATGACGATAATCATTAATGTTAGTAATTTTTTTTTTTAATGTTTAAATATTTATGAAAATACTAATGTTTATTTAATTAGTAATATTGTCTATCGTAACACGATTAAACAAAGAAGAAAATAATTACTAATTAAATTTATATCTTTTTGTAATTATAAATTTATGTTATAATTTAATAAAAATTTTATTTCAGTTTTAATTACACGGTATTTTTTACTTTAAATTTATTTAAAGTTTGAAAAATAGAAATTTTATCGTTTAAATGATCGAAGTGAGTTCTTCGAGGTTATAAAAGGATGCAAAAAAGATGCACAGTCTCATAAGTGAGAATTTTAATGATAAAATATTGAAGAGAAGAGAGTGTAAGACACAAAGGAAGACGCCAAGTTGCAAAGAATTTAGCAGCATAGTAACAATATATTATCTGTACAAGTATAATAATATGAAAGTGTGTGTTATATTTGCTTAGTATTTGAGTATCAAAGCCTCTCGTAGTCTTCAAAGTTTTCAGCATGACCATGGTTATTTGTCGAGCTGAGTGGTAGTGTATCTCTACAGTGTTGCCAGATGTTGAGAGAGCCGAGCAAGCAGCCATTGTTGCCATGTCCTTGGAGCAGAGCAACTACGAGCAACCACGAGGAGCTTCGGGGGAACGCTTGCCAGTCAATTTTAGTCTCGAGACGTGGTGGGTATTGAGATTGATTCAACAGACTTGGACTGACTAAGACGACTGACTTATATGAATATGAATCGGGTTGTTAATGTCATGTGACGAAAAAAAAAACATAACAGTGAAGAAATTTAATACTAAATATTGAAGAGCTAATAAAATAATAGTTTAGTAATTGTTCAATAAATTCAACTTTGAGAGAGAGAGAGAGAGGGGAAAAAATGTATTGTTTGAGTAAAAAGAAAATACCTTGATAATAAAATCAATGTATTAAAGAAAATATATCTATAAAAAAACATGTCAGAAACATGGATATTTATTGGTATGAGTGCGTTCTTCATAAGAGCGTGCAGATATCTAGCTAACGGTTAATAATTCGATATTTGGGACTGACGAAGAATTGAAAGGGTGAAAACGAGTCTTCTAATTTGTATATCTATAAAAGTTGAAGGCGTTTAGTGAGAGAAAGAGAGAGAGAAGAAAGACTGACAATTATTGAAGTGAAAAATATAACAGCCGGGCTGTATATCTTAAATAAATTAATCAATTGATTAATTGGAGCAATTCTTAACTACTAGAAGAGAGTGGTGGACTCTGCCGCAAGGGTTAGAGCCAGGAAATGGGACGTGAGCCGTGTTCAAAAAAACGACATCCCCTTTTCAACATCAGGAATGAAACTTCTAGCTTTTCTACCTCCTTCACAATGTTCTCTACTCGTATTCCTACTGCTGGTGACATTGAAAGTCTCCATCCTTGCAAAAATAGCCTCGGCCAATTTGGATGCAAGTCGAACAGCCGGCAATCTTGGCGAAGGACCCATTGTGTGTGCCTATGTCGGTTGCCAATGCGACAATTGGACATTTTATTGCAAAGGAAGAAATTTTCTAGGCTTAGGACTACCAGCACGTGCAAGAGATGTTGTGTTGATCAATGTAGGAGCAGCTACTTTGCCAGTAGCTGCCTTGGAAGTATCAACAAATCTCCGGAAACTCAGCTGGACATCAAGTGGAATAGAAAGATTGGAACCAGGTGTATTTACAGCAACTCCGCATTTAGAATATCTAGATTTAGGTGACAACAGGCTCATCTCTTTGCCAGAAAATGTTTTGGCACCACTTCGTCATCTAAAGTTCTTAAATTTTACTGGAAATCTATTGACAAATCTCTCACGTGCTACTTTCAAAGACCTGGAATCTTTAGAAACACTTTTGATTGCTCGTAACAATATAACTGTGCTTCCGTATCAAGCTTTTGTAATGTCTAAATATCTCAGCAATCTTGATATTTCTATCAATGGTATTAGATCCCTACAAGACTACACATTTAAACCAAATCAACAACTACGGTATCTCAACCTTTCTTTTAATCATCTTACTAATTTACCTAGCCGGCCTTTTTCAGGTCTTGGTAAACTACAACATCTAGACATGGCCGACAACGATATTCGCATTCTTCCACGTGGACTATTTGCTGAATTGAATAATCTTCAATTCTTAAACTTGGCTGGTAATCCTATTTCCAATTTAACACATTTATCTTTTCAAGGGCTGACTAATTTAATTCAACTTGATATTGGAAAAACGAACATTTTACATATACCTCATCATTTCTGGCGACTGATACCCAATTTGAGATCTTTAACAATTGATGAAACAAAGATCGAAGTGATAGAAAATGAAGACCTTATAGGTCTTGAAAAACTTGAAAATTTAACCATTACCAATGGAAGGCTCAGAGAGATCCATTCTAAAGCATTGGATCATTTAACATATTTACGTAATTTGGATCTTCGAAGAAACGATCTAACATTTTTACCAGCAAGTTTAGCTCATCTAACACGTCTAACACATCTTCATCTCCAAGGGAATCCTTGGGCTTGTGATTGCAGAATGTTCTGGTTCGTTAAATGGGCTGATACTAATGTTCATAGAACTGCATTTGAAAGTGGTCTACGTTGTGGGCATGAAATAGCCACAATAGACACTCTACAAATTCTTCGATACTTAAATTGTACACCACCTTCCCTTGCTCATACAACCCCAACGAAATTACATCGATTAAATAATTCTGTTCTATTGGAATGTGAGTTTAATGGAAATCCAGCACCATCTTTAACATGGGTTACACCTTCACTGGAAATATTTCATTGGAATCCTGATCCAGATTTTCCCGATGACTTTCATAACCATCCAGCTGATCATAGAATTGAAAATTCAATGAATCTTGGCAATAATGGCAGAATTCGCCTACTTGATAATGGTTCCTTGCTCATCACACATTTGCTCAGACAAGATGTTGGTCGTTACAAATGTTTTGCCATCAATCCAATAGATAATTATACAACTTATGTCAACGTCCATATGGATCCAATTACTTATCAACATATTAAAATGTTCAGCATTGCTGTTGGAGCAGCTAGCGCTACAATATTTCTCTTACTGACTCTTTTTGTTCAGTTTCTTCGTTATCTGTTTAATCGGCAAGTAGAATATTCCTTTCATCTTCAAAGTAATCCTTATTATAGACATCAATCATTTATTTTAGCATTTAAACTTTCATATTATCACGTTAACTAATTTTTCAATTATCTAATATTAGATATTCTAAATAACATCTCACTTGATAAATTATAAACGCATCATTTTTCTGACCTTTTAAAGTATTATAATCGATTTAATTTAATGTTGATACTATTTTTAATTTTTGTTGATGGCGATTGCTTTTAAAGCTTTAAATTAAATTAATTATTGATTTTTGAATGCCTAGTTGTGAATGTTAATTTATCTAAATTATTTGACATGAGTTATTAATTTTGTTATAAATACAATGTTTTTTTTGCAGGTGTGGCTGCTATCGATGGTGTTACTGTTGCAGGCGTGGTGTTACACCACGTGCAAAACAAATCTATCAAATGTTGGATAATATTGAACAATATAAAAGCCAACAGCTTGAAAGATTACGTGAAAATTACACTCAGCAGGTACATAGAATTAAAGATAACTGCGCCCAACAAGTTGAATGGATACGAGACAGCTATGAAGGGCAAATGAGGCACATCAGAGACATCCGTGATTATGGAACAAGTCATTTAACATCACTTAGAGATCAATATTATGAACAGGTACTTTCTAAACTAATTTATCAATTTATCATTAATACCCTTAAGATAATATTTCATTTTCAACAACATTTAAATTTTAAAAAATGTTGAATAATAATGAAATTAAAGTAAGCATGTAGACTAATAGAAATCCAAACAATTTGTTTGTTTGATAGGTTAAACGCGTTCGAGATTATTCAACAGGACAATTAAATTGGGTACGAGAGAATTATGTCTTCCAACGGAATAAAATTCGCAAGTTTAGTGCCCATCAAGTATTACGATTACGTGAAAGCTACAAATATCAGCAGCAAACATTGAGTAAAGTTTTGGAAAATTTGCCTAATTTATATTTCGACAATTGTCGTAGTGGTTCATGTGGAAAAAGTGACTCGGCAGCATTTGATCCAAGAGAAGTTAATCAAATACCGGAAATAGATTCTTATTTCAAAGTTAAAGTAAACGATATCGTAACTTGTAGCGCAAGCCTTGAGGATCTTAATAGTGAATATTATACTCCAACAGAATTCTCATCAGCAAGTCCTCATGGACTAGGTTTTGAGGGAATTCATATCAATTATATAGAAGACAGTCCACCGTTACCACTCGGCCCAATAGTAACTGCCAACACATCGAATGCAATCCTGCATAATATTGACGAGTGTAACAGTAATTCTACAGTAGTGAAGAGCTTCACTATAAGTCAACCGATTCACAGAGGTACCAGTGTTGAATTGCTGAATCGACAGAATCCAGAAAAGACAAATGAGAATTCTAGTCTTCTAGGCCCCAGTACTAGTATGCCTGAATTACCTCACGAGACCAGGCTCTAACTGGCCTAAATGTGATAATGATTATGATATTCTCAATTTCTTCTTTCATTCCTCTGTGATGTCGGTGCAAATCTTATCGTTTTTTTTTGTGCTCGGATTCATGTGCCTTTCACTAATCGCTTTGTATCGGTCAAGGTGAAAGTTATCGGTGACTCTTTTACAATATCTCTAAATCCTGAGGAAATTTTTACAATATCACTGGTGCTTGCACATGACACCGTACCTGACATAATATAACAAGTGATAATGAATAAAGATGTGTACAATAAATGAGATAAATTAAATTTAAAAAAGAAGTAATAAATAAAAATATAATTATTCAACTAAAGAAATTGTGAAGATTACATTGTGATGGTGTTTTAGATCATTTCAATTATCAATTATTGTTAAATTATTTATATTATTGACTTTGTTTAACGTATTTGAATCATTACTTTTATTCGTTTTATTTAATTAAAATATTATATTCAGAAGAACGTTCATGGAATGTAGTGCAAAACAATAAATCCACAACACTTGTACACGAATTAAAAGGGAGTTGAGTGTAAGCGTGATTTAATATCACTCAGGATATATCTGACTGATTGTTTTTTTTTTCTTTCATATCCAATCATGGATTTATATTACTAATATTCTTTTTTTTATCACGATCCGAGCCAACATACTCAGTCGGAAAAAAACTTTATTTGTGGTTTTGTATTAAATAATAAACCGCATCTTCTTTTCATCAACTCATCTGTTATTCTTCTAGATTGTAAGTTGTTGAAAGCATTAAATAATGTTTCTAAATTCTCTATAGATGTAGTGAAAAATATAGCAATAGAATACAAAAAAAAATGATGCATAAATAAAAAAAATATCATCAATAGAAATTAGTAAAAAAAAAAATGCTAATTATGAGTGTGTAATGAAAGTTTTCAGATGTGTTAATTATTTACTCTAACAATTGAAAATAAAGAGATTAAATTTATGAAAATTTTCAATTAAATTTACTGATAATTCACTATTGATATTTTCATTGTCTGGTACGGTGCCAAATTTTCATGATTTAGTAACGTCTTCCTCGGTAAATAGATTGAAAAAAAAAAAACAAAATCAATAAATAATTTTGTTTGAAATAGTACACTTTCCAATATTTTCTATTAACTGATATTTTCAAGTAAAATAATTCCTACAATATAACAAAAATAAATTTTGCTAAACCAAATCAATGAAAATAAATAATAATCATTTTCATCAACTTTTGTTTTAACATCATTTTAAATAATGTGATGATAAATTATTCATTAAGATTTATATTATATTACTTAATATTATTTTAATTAGTTGATAAATATTATGAAAATACAGTAATAATGATCATAATAAAAATAATAATAAGTTAGAATTGTGACAATGGAATGTTTGTCAATTAAAGGGACAACGCAGCCGCTCATACACTAGCTATTAATATTGAAAAAGTACAGAGAAAAATTGAGCGAAAAAGAATAAGAAATAAAAGTGAACGGAAAAAAAGAAAGAAAAAAAGAGAGACAGGAAATAATGTTTATGAGTTGAATAATCAACGGGTACTGAATTTTAATTTCAACCCTAATCTCAGATATGAATACAAGTATTTATTATCAAACTAAATGTTGATATTAGACTTTTGCTTGTATATTTTTTATAGATAATTGTTAATTTTGAATTTAAAGCACTGAGAATTGTAAATTGATATTTAGTTGATTAATTTATTTCTAGAAGATGTGCTTTGTTTTTTGAGGAGTGAAAATTACACAAAATATGCAAACAAATCTAAATAATTAGAAAAATTATGTAGATTATATACATATATATATATAAAAATATATATACATATTGGAGATTATCTCCTTTTCCATAATAATGTAATCGATAATATAAATAAAGTATATACGTATAAATGGGAAATTAAGATTATTTATTAATCTTACCCATATAAAAACGTTCGTTTTTAATTATTTAACCCTTTGAAGCATAACAATAAGAAGTTAAATCTTCTTACATATCATTTTTATTCATCACTAATCTGGTTGCTGGAGTTAAAAATAATTGCTTAGTCAAAAAATATAGGTGCTATATATGGTCTGTTATGTATAATGTTAAAAAATATACTCAATGTTGTGAATAAATGAATTAAAAAAAAAATATAAAAATATTTTTCATAGAATAAAATATATGTGTTTTGAATTCATGAAAAATGTTAAAGAAAAAGTTTCATATTTCAACGATAAATGTTTAGTAAATAATGATATTTTTTTTCAGATTTTCACATTAATAATAAATAATATGTCATGATAAAGTCAACTGTTTATTTAAATTTTTTAATATCTCATATAATGCATAAAAAATCATATAATATAAGTAAAAAAAAAATTAATTTATACAGGTTTTAATTGAAGAAAAATTGTGATATCTTGAAATATAGATTCTTTTAATTGAATGAATTTTAAAAATATATGCTTCAAAAGGTTAATTTGTTAAATAGCAAATGTATGTAATGAGTTAATGCATTAGTTAATTTTTTAATTTTCAATGTACTTAATCAGAAGACTAATATGGTCCATCATTTGTAAAACGAGTATCATTTTGTCAATGTATCACTTTGTGTAAATAAATTGAAAAAAAAAAAAAAATAAAAAAAATAAATGAATTGTAAATAAATAATCTATTCAGTTTTATCTGTTGTTTAATAATATTTTTTTCACTCTCTATTAGTAAATTAATTAACAATTCAATAGCGGTTATCGTGTAATTTACGATGTGCAAATAACATTGGACGGACTAACGAAAATGATTTAAAATTAAACTATGTAAGGTAAGCACGTGAATAACAGTATAACTCGTCATAGGGCAAATGATAGCTGAGTGTATTTTTAAATTACGTAAGTGGTCTTTAAGTGTGACAAGACACCGCGGTCTTGCTCGACTTATTCTGTACCCTAGATTTATCAATTCTCAACTTTCCTACCTTAGACTTCACTCTCAACACTTTTTGTAATAAAGTTTTCATATGTAAATAATTATAATTGTTTAATAATTATTAAGAACCCTAACTATGATTAAAATGCATGAAAAACAACAGACATTAAACTGACCGAAGGAATTTAAATTTAAAAAATTGGCGGTAATTTATGATTATACTCAACGCTAAACATATGCTAATCGTTATTTAATTATTTTTTAATTAAATAAATTAAGTTAAATGCTTAATGTTACTTTAAAAATGCTTTTCAAAATTAACTTAAAGAAATGGAAATATAAGTTAAACAATCTAATGTTTAATGGTGGACGTAAACTGTTTTATGTTCGCTATTATATTAGTATATTTACAGAGTTTCCTCTGTAATTTATAAATAATTATTATAACTACATATAAGTACATACCTTTTCTTGAGTTCTGTTCCAAACAATAACGCTATGACCACTGTTGATTAGATTTTTCACGATACCGCTGCCCATGATTCCGAGCCCAAGAAAACCGAACTTTAAATTTGACGGCATTATGTTTTTCTCTTTCAGGGTTTGAGATAGTGTTTCCACGTCTAGGGGAGGAGTTACCTTTTAAAGTAAATCAAGTTTTTAGTTATCAGAAAAAATTTTTATATAATTAAAATAAACATTACTGTATAAATTATTTTTATAGTTTAAACTAACAATTACGTGTTTTTCATTATTTACAAATGACTATCTACGCAAATGGTCAATAAATGAAAAAAAAAAAAAAAATTGAAATTCAGAATTATGATGAAATATATTGTTATATTGAAAAAGCTAAAAACAAATGAATAATATTTTTTGTCATTTATTGTTATTGAAAACTAGTTGATGAATGTAGTCGTCATGAAAGCAATCGATAAATAAATTAAATTAATGTATTTAATAAATATTGCATTCTGTTAAAATATATGAATATACCGGACAAACGTGCATTAGCAAGATCATGCGCACTAGATTCGCGATTTAATATCCTTGTGTGGAGATTGTGAATAAACCGAATTTATTGATATTATTTATGAAATATTATAAAAATAAATATTCTTTCATCAACAAACTACTGTTAAACAATATTATCGTTTTAGTAATAGATAGCAATAAATAAATACAACTATAATAAATTAGACAATTGTTGAGATAGAATTTCTTTTTTGCAATTTAATTAATGAAAAGAAATAAAAAATATTTAAAAATATAAAAAAATGTTCCAATAGTGATTTTAAATTATTAATAGTAAGATTATTGAAATAATTAATTATGCTATAAGATTAATTAATAAAAACTGAGACGTTTAAAAACAAAAATAAAAAACAAATTCAAAGATACTTACAGGTCTTGCTATATTGGCAGGTCTATTAAGGAGTGTTGATCCTGATTTTCTCGGAGGACTGGGAGAATGATTTAATGTTGGACTTACGCTACCAACGCGATTGCTAGCACTATTACTTGTACTGGATTCTCGACGTTGTTTTTTCGCAGGACGACGTTCAGCACTATTGTCCACTCTTTTTGTCTTTGGAGTAGGCTCCTACGATAATTTAGTTTATATAATATACTAACTCATGAGATATAAAGATCTCTTGATTTGGAGTATTTTTTTCTTATCGATGATTAATCATTTGAAAATTATCACTTTTATTTACCTTTCGTGGTTTTGTAATTTTTGGACTCTTCTTTTCAGATGTTTCTTCTTCTTTTAGTCTATCAAAAACGGAGTTTGTGTCAGAGACATCATTGGTTGGAACCTATTAAATATGTGTGTATTAATATATGCAATATATTCGTATGCAAAATGCAATGTAATATAAAATGATGTCGAAAACTTTAAATTGATATTTACCCTCACTTCTCCGTTAGCAATATATTCTTCAATAGCTTCTACTGCCTCTTTAAATTGCCCAGTTTTACTAGATTTCACTAATGTGTCCTTGTACTCATGGTATGGTTTGATGTGTGATTCTTCGATCCAAGCACTGATAATTGAAAAAAATTAGAATTATTTTATAAATAAATCTACTTTTATGCTAATGACTACAATAACATAGAAGTTAATTTAAAATCGGTGTACACTTACTAGTTACTAGTTCCGTAGAAAAATATCCATTGCACAGGATTTTTCTTTGCATTGGCTGGTTTTTTAGAGTCAGGATTTGGTGCTTCAACCTTTAGAAATGAACATTAAATACAAGATAATATAAACAATTATTCCATAAAATCAACAGAAAAAGATCTTTTATTTAATTAATTCACTCCGGTAAATTATTTTTTAGGTAAAAAATTATTTTAATTGAATTCAAAACACTTTCGAGGTTATAATTTCATCCACCTGCGCGCCAATTTGAATTCGAACAACGGGTGTGGCGGGAGTGACTAGCGACGCGGGAAAATAATTCGACTTCCTTGTAGTTGTCAACAAATGGATATTTCCAGAGTCCAGTGTCGATTATAATGCAGTTGGAGTTTAAGTTAGTTTTTACGCTAAAAACCACATATGTTCCCGCCAAAACGGATGCGTCCGAAGAAAGCATGATGCGTGGCGCGCATTACGCATAAAATGCAGGCTAACCGTTAGTAGAGACTTGGAACTTACCCGGCCAGGCCATGGTGGAAATCCTTTCATTTTCGCCCTAAAATCATTCCAAATAATTCACATTAACTTCTAATTTATAATCACTGATAACAAAATGATATTTAATTGATAAATACACACCATACGAGATCTCCTAGTTTATATCCTTCCGACATTTTTACAGCAGATAAACTCTCTTTAACGTTCAGCAGGCAACTGACTGGCAGCTTCAGCGTCGTGTATGATTACACCGTGATCTAAACTTGACTTATCCCCACCACTTACTACGTGAGTCATTCAATTGTTGAAAGTAATAACAGTTTATTTTAAAAATTAATTAAATATAAATAATAAAGTTATTATAATGTTGAAGATTAAGAATATGGAATCTTAATTTTCTAATAAATAAATAAAAAAATAATTAATTACTGAAGTTAGATAAATGTATGCATAATTTTGTATTTTATTCTCAAAAGTCACTTCCGGTAGCGCTGCTGACAAAGTGACGCTAGAAAAATGGCTGATACCACAGAGAAATCTAATATCTTGTCTTGAAATCGAAAAATTACCACATTCATAATTAATTTATTTATTCAGGTTTTATTAATTATGATTCATATATTTTTATTAATAAAAAAATCTTGAAATATTAGTTAAAACTTCTTACTAATAATTGAGGTTATAAAATGCAAATTAATTTTTTTTAGTGAAAATGAAATCTATAAAATTAAAGCGGGAGAGTATGCGACGAAAAGAAAAATAGAAAAGGATCGAGATATAGAATGTCCACGTGATAATGCACGCATACCTATAAGTTATGTGTACAATTAGGTACAATGTGAAATGTTATTTTCCGTCATCCGAAACATTTGGTTAGACACACTTTTACGATAGTTTCACCAGCTGTCAGCCATCGATTGTAAGGACATTTTGTTACACTTGAAAATACACATTAACAAAATTCTATTTTTTTCTATTCAATATTACATTGTTGAAATAAACTGATTATACAGAGCTTTAATCACTACTGGCCACAAAATGGTATGTTTATAATAAGATTCTTTACTATCATGACATTGTTGAATTTCTATTTTATAAGTTTCTAAAAAAGTGTTTTCAATTTATCATATATTTGTTTATTCAACAGCTTCTAATTAATTACAAGATTACTTTTATATTTTCAATAGTTAATTAAATTCAAATTGATCACTGATGTTTAAATCTGCTTTACTAAATGTCTATATGAAGTATAAATAAACAACTTCTTTAAAAAATAACAAAATATGCTATTTTACAACAATTATAATGTTCTAAATAGGAAAGCATTCAGGGATTAATATTTTTTCTATTTTTTCATTGAACAAATACTTGATGCCGTAAGTACAAGTATTCAATTTTTTTGAAAAAATCCAAGATTAACTTTAATAATGTTGGAAATTAATGTTCAAAAAAGTTGTATACATGTCACCCTCTTGAACTTATGACAGCCCAAAATATTGATTATAATATTCAAGGTTTTAACGAAGGTCATGGGATTTATTTAATTATGGTTTATGAACATGTTAAAGTGATTAAAAAAAAATAAAGATTGGATTACAATTTCGTAAAGTCCCAATAAAAACAGATTATTAATACTAAAGATTTATTTTTTACAGTCACAACTAAACACTGATGGTGCCCATAATGGCACGTCGATGTCTGGAGAAACTCCGGTTTCAACAGCCCAGGTGCATGAAGAACCTCGTCCAGGTCATTCTGGTTCTCATACAATAGTTAGATCACCGCCACCAACGGTACGTAATTAATTTACTGCAATCTGTAGTATTTTATAATTTTATAAACAGAATAATATTATAATAATAATTGATATTTATTGATACAGATTACTGTTGAAGAATTAGCACCTCCGAAACCTGATTTTTCAGCACCTCCACCATATGAGTTGGCAACTAAATTGCCTAGTTATGAAGAAGTACAAAGAGAAAAAACGTTGCAAGGAGAAACAACACCTCATCCACAAATTCACCTAGTATGTGTCAAAATAATAATCAATTAAATTAATCTTGATCATTTCAATGACCTAGGATAGAGAGAAATATGGAATTTAAAATAACCTAATGCCTAATGATGTTCCAAATTTGCAGGGTGGTATTTCTGCTCCCCAGCCGCTGACTATTTTGGCTATAGATCCCAGTGCTACAGAAGGAGATGCTGAAAGTGGATTACTCGGAACAGATTTTACATTTTTCACAGCATTTTTACGTAAGTATAAAAAAAAATAAACTTCTGACGTATTATAGATTTTTACTATAGGATAAATTTATTACATAACATCTCGACTTGTTAACACAATAATTTTGTGGACAAAATAGTACTTGTTTTTACATTTAAACAATTTGAAAAATACAAGTATAGAATGCCTACAAAAAAAATTTAATATAAAATTAAAAATAATTGAAATGTTTCAGTGGCATTGTTCTTTAATTGGATCGGATTCCTTTTATCAATGTGTTTCTGTCACACAATTGCTGCTCGGTACGGAGCACTCGCCGGATTCGGATTATCTCTTACCAAATGGACATTAATAGTGAAACATTCTACAGATTTGGCATCACGAGCTAATTTCTGGCTATGGTGGCTCATTATGGCTCTTGGTAATTATTCATCGTAGCTATGCCGTTTTGTATTATAATTTTATTTGACTCTCAACATATCATTAATGATTGTTTAATCATTTTAACAGGTATTCTTATTTGCATACGTGCAATCACTCAGTACTTGAATATCAAACGTGGATGGAAATTATTATCTGGCAGTGCTCAAGAACGTCTGCTCTTTTTTTATTAAAAAAAGGCTAAAATTGAATTTGGAAATAATTGATAATAGAGCATTTTGGCATTTCTATTTGGGATCGTATATTGCACGATATAATATAAAATCACATATAAACAATGTTACTTTATATAGATTGTCTACAATTACTGTATAAACTAGACGCAGAAAAGTCGTAAAAACAGATCAATTCAGATTCAAATACTAAGAAGAAAGAGAAAAAAAATTAAAAACCGGTTTTAAGAAACTAAATGTAACGATCCAGTAAGTGTAATTCCTAAATGATTGGATTAAGACTTACATAATGATAATGATAATTTTTAAAAAATACGTTACATTTTTGCTTTAAAAATGCGTGCAATATTCAAATTATATAATTGTTAAACATTTTCGTTTTTTATTGAGTGATTTTTACAATATATATATGCATCATAGTAAACACTTTAAGACTTACTGCACGCGATATTTATGCTCACCGTTTGATATAATAAATAATTTCAAAAAAATAAAAAAACAATGACAATTATCCAATCAGAATGCGAAATATATTTACAATAGCTTCAAAATATTAAAAGTATAATTATAATATGTCTAAAAATCATAAGACTATTACCTTGTATTTAAAATGTCTTTTTTTAATCAAATTATCATTATTATAATGATAAAATTATTGGGTATAAAGTAATTTTATTTTTATTATAAAAAAAATATGTATTTTATTTATATTTATGTACGACTTTTTTTTTTACCTATTAGAAAGTCCACAGATTATTTTAATTTTAAATTTCGTTAAAATGATTAAAATAAAAATTTAGTATCAAAGTAATGAATGTAAAAAGTCATAATACAGTCACAGGTGACATTTTATAGTTTTTACATTTCAAAATAAAATAATACAGTTTTCATTTTGAACAAGTCAAAATAAAATATCAAAACATGTATGAAGTTTTTTCAAAAATTTCAAATACATTATTATTTAATATAAATAATAAATTATTCTTGTAGAAACTATTTAAATAATGTGTGAATTGTTAAAAATTTTTGTCAGGAAAAATATATTCAATAAACAAATTGAAAAAATACGTTAACTGAATCATTTGCATATTAATGTTTATCCATATTACGTTTTTTTATAAAGCTCAATAGCGTAGAATTTATAAAAATGCATGTGTATATAAGGCGCACCTTGCGTAAGTCAGCCATTTTGTATGTTTATATGTATGTATATTGTATATATAGCTGATTTTCCTACCGTGAGCTAAAGTCATTTTACAACGCGCATATATAACGCTCTTTATACCCATATAAATAAAAAAAAATAGCTTGTAAGCAGTAGCAAGCATGATTCATGGTGCAGTTATGTATCTTACCTGATTGTCATTACTAATGATAACTCCAAAAACAAATTAAACAAATTTGTTATTCTAATTTGTCATTAAAAAGTCTCTATTAATGTGATAATCTTACATATGAGTTAAATTTTAATAATGACAAGTGTCGTTTGTGATAGTAATAATAGTGCAACTATTGTTTCTATATTTTATAAATGACTTCTTTATTATTTAAATAGTATTAAAATACTTATCTTCCATGTTACAATAATAATATTAATAAAAAGTTATTCATTTATAATACAAATACGATTAAAACAGTGACATTTGATACTTAAATCAATGCAACTAGATCATAATTAAAATATTATAGTAATATATCAAATATATATATATATATATATACATATATATTTTACCAGATCATAAATATTTTATATTATTAAAAACTATCAAAAATGATGGCTGATGAACAATTCTCACTAGTGTGGAATAGTTTTCCATCCAATTTATCATCTGGATTATACTCATTATTAACTGATGAACATTTGGTGGATGTTACTCTGGCTGCTGAAGGGAAAATTTTAAGAGCACACAAATTAGTTTTATCTATTTGTAGTACATTTTTCAGAGATTTATTTAAGGTAATTATGTTTAAGATAATAATTGATTAACATTTATAACAAATACCTTACAATTGTTTTGCCATTGATACCATGTGACTTGATGATTGTTTTGATTCTTATTACGCAGGGGAATACGTGTAAACATCCCATAGTGATATTAAAAGATGTTAATTATCGAGATTTATCAGCGATGCTACACTTTATGTACCAGGGAGAAGTAAATATAAAACAAGAAGATATTGCAAGTTTTCTAAAAGTTGCTGAAACTTTACAAATTAAAGGATTAACAAAAGATAAAACTGAGGTGAGCATCAATAACGTATGATAAAAATATTTACTCTGTTATAAAAGTTTGTAAACACAAAAACTTGGATTATTTTGGAAATGTCATTCGTATTCAAAATTATTCATTACAAAATTCAAAACAATACAGTTGTTTTTAGTTATTATTTTTTTCTGGTAATTTAAAAAATGTATTTTAAAGTTTCATAATACTCTTTCGAAATTGTTTAGCTATAAAAATATAAATGATTAATATAAACCACTGGAAAATTTCTCTTTGAATGACAATAAATAAAATAGTTAAAACATGATTTAAATGTTTCCATTCTCTAATTGTATAGAATAATACTGATAATCATCAGTTTTCTTATGGGTTGTTTGCAAAAAAGAACAATCGAAAGTTATTAACTCGAAAATATACAGTTAGAAAACAGTTACAATTTTATGTTCTGCGGGTTTTATCTCTGGATATTATAGAATTTTTATTCCTAGAATACAGGCGTGCTCCAAAAATGATAAATATTCAAGTAGTTTATGTGCTCTGTAATTATTAATAAACATTATTTTAAAAATTTAAATTAGTAAAAACATTTTATTTCTTATCATTTCAGAACAAAAACCGGCCAGAAGATACTTCAACACGAATAGAAAACCTAAGTTCTACAGAAGACGACAATACAAATCATAGTGAATCAATTCCACCAGAATCTACAGAGAAATTTGACCTGCTTTCGAAAGCTGTTGAGCGATCGGAATTAGATGACAGTTCTCTTCATCAAAATAATTCAACAACAGACCATCCCGATGAAATTACATCTCCAAGTATCATTACATCTGAAAGTGATAATAATTACAAGCAAGAATCAACTGTTAAACCTATGCCATTTGACTTTAACGAAGATGATGATCCTCACATAGATGAAATAAATAATACCGTTGAACCACTTGATTTTACTGCAGATACTCGTCAAATTAATAAAGCTAATGACAGACTCTACAATTATACATATGGCGTTGGTTGTTCTACGTCGTCAGCAGGAGTAAATAGTTTAGAAGATCCATCGATACAATCATCATTACCATCTTCTGAGATTACGTCTTTCCAAACAGATTATTTTGAAGAGCCACCAGGTAAATTGAAAGCTTTATTTTTGATTAAGTAATAAGTTAAGGATTAAAGTTTGACAGAAATATTATTTCAATACTATTGTTTGTAGAAAAACTGTATATTAACTTTGATTTTTTATATTATTATCATAGTTTTTGTTGAATAAATATTCTTTAAATATTTATAATCATAAAAATCAATCTATTCATTGTTTAGACTCATAGTAAGCTGGAAAAAATTGAATTTAATCATTTTTATGACAGACTTCATTGAAATTGGAATGAAGCAGAAATTAAATAGGAAAGTTGAAAATTATCGAGCGATTTTATCAAAATATTTATTACATTTAGATATAAAAAATAGGATAAGACAATAATAAATGATTATTGATTCTAGGTGCTATTGATAACAATGTAAATTATGTAAAAGATTTGCCATTCGATTCTTCCAATCAATCAAAAGTAGCGAAGGGCCGGAGAACTGTTAAAGGTATTCAACACAGTGCATTACCATTGGAAACAACGTTACGTGTCGTTTCTGAGCTTGGACCCACGATTCGAGTAGAAAAGGGAAAAGTTGTTCGTATGTACTCATGTCCTTGGTGTTTAAGACATTTCACCCGTAAAGAAAATCTTAAACTTCATGTACGTTATATCCATGGACCTCTTGAAAGCCTTACCTGCAAACTCTGTGGCAACAAATACAAAAACAGTAATAGTCTTCGTGTTCACTCGTATCTCTACCACAACACTAAGAGAAACAAGCACAGCAAGTCTTCGTTAGTTATGAATAATGTTTAATATATAATTTAAAAATAATCTTGTATTATTGTTTAATACTTTATTATAGTTGAGTATTATATTATTGTTATAACTTTGTATCAAACTTTATTATATAAATATCGTTATACTCTTTTGTCATCTGATGGTTTTACTCCATTTTAATATTCAGAGAATATGATTACTCATAACAAAAAAAAACGGAAACTGTAGCGATAGTTTGATAAGCCATCAAGGATGATTTATTCATCATTTTTTGTTCATACATTGTTTCTTAAAAACCGTCATATTAAATAGTTAAAATTTGTTATTAAGATTTGTTTATACTTTTTTTATGTTTAAGTCTACTTATTGTTATAAAAAGATTATTGAATAATTATTATTATTGTGAGTTTTTTTTTTTCAAACTTATTTTTTAAAAATGTCGTGGTTATTTCAATATGGAAGAAGTGAAAAATTTCCAACAATTTACGAATCAAAAAAAACTTGGGTAACCATTGATTACGATGAAGTCATTATATTTTTCATTTTTTCTACATTAGCTATTATTTTTTTGTCGATAGTTCCTGGCTATGGAAAAAGGGTAATTTATCAATACTCATATCATACAATTTGTAAAAAAATAAAAAAAGATAAAATGATTATTTAAAATAATCTTTATCTTAAAATCACTTTTAGAGTCTTCATGTTGGCATAAAAGCTTTTTTCAGCATATCTATTGGCTTCTCATTATTCCGTAAGCGAAAATAATATTAAACTCTTTATAAATATGTTAAATTAATCCTAAATTACTCGATATATTTAATTTATGGGACGTTTAATGAAAATAGTTGTGAATTATGGTCAAGAATGGGAAGTTGGCCAGATAGAAACGTCAACTCCTTACCGTGCGGGTGAAAAAAGTGAAATTCAAGCACAAATTAAAATCAAAATTGGATTACGATCGATAAATATAACTTTAAAAGGCTTCGGTGAAAGAGGAACTCCACTTGAAAAGGAAATCATAAATTATAATGAAAGATTTTCATGGACTTGGGATCAAGGAACTTTTGGCTTTGGTCCAAGTGGTGAGTAAAACATTCATTCATTATGATTTTACCATCTAGGTATGTACTTTTATTTACATAATTATGATAAAAATAATAATTATCAATAAAGTGAGATACTTATATTTGTCAATACAGAAATCTAATTTTTTTTACTTCATGACTGTTGATGAATTAAACAAAATTATTATGTTTATAAACAGCTGGCCTTTTGCAAAGAAGTCTTAGGGAAGCACAACGAAAAGGATTGCCTATTCCTATCATCTGGATTGTTGATCTTCTTTCAATTGACGGTGAAGGCATTAGGTTTGGTAGATATTACAGAACAACTGGATGGTATTGTCACATTTTACTTTGGGCTGCAGTACCTGCCTGGATTTTAGCAAATATTTTTTTGCAATCTGTCGGAAGATATGCAGCATATTTTACAGGATTGATAGGAATTCTTGAAATCACTAGCTGTATTATTTGGATGAACGTACGTAATCCTAATCCTCTAGCAATTCACTTTAATGATAAACTTATTGAGATGCATTATGGACCAACATTTTGGCTGGCCGCAACGACAGGTGATCGTTTCCTTTTATAAAAACTTCAAATTAAATTTGTTTTTTTTTCTTCAACATATTGAACTGTTTAAGTTAATTATTAATAATAATTAATAATAAATTCTTAGGTATTTTATGTCTATTACTATCTTTAATATTATTAATTTTGGATCTTAGACATCCTAATTTACTCGCTATATTCCTTGGCATTGATATTTTAAATCAATATGACGAATTTTTAATTCGTAAGTAAACATATTAATAATGAAAAATGTCAAAAATAAATTAATGAAACAAGTTTTTTAAATGATCATTTTTATAGGTGCAACCGAATTAGATCATACAAAAGATAAATGTAAAAAATATGAAACAATAGAATTAGGAAAAAAAAAATCTGATGAAAATTTGGAATCTGATGCAGCAGTGGTTGGTTGCTTTCTTCAATATCACACACTCAAAATCTAAATCATTCTATTATATTTCTATAATTAATTGATAATGAATATTATGTATGAATAATTATCTCATTACTGTTACAGATACTTTTAAAACGTCGGACTGCAATTAAATGTGCTCAAAAAGATTTTCTCCGAAAGCCAACTTTGTCTATGACATTCCACAACATTGACAATGAGCGGCCTGAATATGTTAATCAATATGGACCAGGGTATTTGAATTATTTGTTTAATTTAGTGGTGATATTTTTATAATTATTTTTACTAAAAATATTTTTATACTCCAGGCCATCGTTTCCGGACGGTAAGAAAGACGTATTAAGACCACAAATTCCCAAGAGAAAGTAAAAGTGTCATAAAAAAGCGTTGCATAATTATGGTTTGATGAAATTTAACTTTTGTAGAAAGTTTCAATGTGTGATTCTTTTTATTATTGACAATAATCAATAGACATACGTCTAATTTTCAGATTCAATTTTTTCTTTACTATCACTGCGCGACGAAGACTTATCAGTATTACTTTCGGATCTTTCTCTAGACTCTTTTTCAGATTTTTTATCTTTGCTTGATTTCTTTTCACTCTTATCCCTGTCGCTTTTGTCGCGATCTTCCTTTTTACCATTACTTTCTGATTTATCTTTGCTGTGTCTATCTTTTTCTTTGTCTTTATCCCTAGATTTCTCTGAGTATTTAGATTTTGAAGATCTAGATTTTGATTTGGATCTTGAACGCCTAGATTTAGACTTCGACCGTTTGCTTCGTGATCGTGAACGACTTCGACGTCGAGGTGACCTTTTCTTTCGATCTTTTGATCGAGATCGTGAACGTCGAGACCGAGACCTTCTTGATCGTGATCTTGAACGATGACGAGCACGAGAACTGCTTCTTCGACGAGATGGAGATTTACGTCGGCGTTCTTTAGAGCGAGATCGTTTAGAACGCGATCTTGACCGTCGTCGATGACGAGAGCGTGATCTTCTATGACGTGAACGCGAACGTTTTCGAGATCTTGATCGTCGACTACGACCTCGTGAACGAGATCTAGATTTTCTACTCCTTGATCCACTTCGACTACGTTTATCTTTTGACAACATTCCAATCATTGGATCAATTGCTGCAGATATTAAATTGTGAGCTTCTTTCACTCTTGACATTGCCTCTTCGATTTCTTTTTGTGCTGCTTCATTACTCTTTGCTTCAGGTTTGGCTATTGCTTGAGTGGAATGATAAAGTTTGATTGGTTTATCAGCAAGCATTTTTCCGTTTAACATTAAAGCAGTTACAACTTGTGTTTGCTCTGTGAGTTCAATTAGAGCATAATGATCAGTATCTGAGTCTCTTGTACATAAACGTAAATACTTAATCTCAACATTATTATTGGAAAAAAATTCCAATAGATGATCTACTGATACTGAATCATCCAAATTAGCAACGATTAACGTTCGTCGAATTTCTTCAATACGTCTGCTATCTAAATGACCAGGAAGATTTGGATAAGGCGGCAATCCATTGGATTCTAGTTTTGGATCCGATGTCGTGATAACATGATTTGGAGGAATACCTTCAATAGAATTGACTACGTTTGCTGGCAATTTTGGTTCTGATGGATATAAACCTGGAAAAGATTAATCAATATTATAAAAAATATATTAAATGAAATTTTTAAAAGCTAGTGATTTGAAATATAATAAAAATATTATAATAATATAAAAATATAGTTTCTCATAACGTAATATCAATTGATTACATAAGATATCTAATAAAAAAAACTACTGTGAATTTCTTTTGTTATTCATTAAAAACTCAGAAACAATTAATGTAAAATTATGATCATTTAACTTGAAGAATGATAATTATTATGATGTAAAAATATATGTCGATTATTAATCAAGTCTGTTACTCTAAAAATATCAATATCTGCAATATATTAATTTTAATGATGTATTAAATAAAAAAATTAACAATGAAAAAAATTGTTTAAACATAATTAGAATGAATATTGTTATCACCTGGTACAACTGTTCCATTATTAGTAAGCTCTAGAGCTCTTTGTTCATCAGGAATATCCCCATTTTGATATGGAATAACAATAAGTGCCCGGTCAATGAAAACAGTGTTTGTCATGTGTTGAGCAACAGCAACACTACCTTGATCATGGAATTTGATATAACAAATTCGTGATTGAACTGGTACTGCAACATCTCTTATTGTAGGATATAATCTAATATCTTCTATTTTTCCCAAATAACCAAAAAGCGTTTGCATTTGATCTTTTGTTGCTTGTGGAGCAATGTTCGTCACTTGAACAACTTTTGTTGTGCCGACCGCCATTTCACCGATATGGTTCGATGCACAAATAGGTTAGAATCGTAAATAGACAAATATTCACAAATATTCGTTTAATTATGATAGGAGTAAATACATTTTGATATTTAAAAATGTTTAATGATTTATTTACGTCAACAGTTCATTAACCATTGAATGTAAATTACTTGCATTTTATATTATATCTACATGATAATAATTCCAACTGCAAAACGTTTTATCGACATAACTAAACATAACACAGTGCGTGCATTGCACTGAATCACCACAAATAACTTTAATTATCCATAAAAGTAATTAAAATAATCTGTTTGCGTGTATTTTACTCAAGTAATAACGATTTACAGATAAAAAAACGTCCGCGTTGGTTTAATTACGCTTCCTGTAATCCACTATGGCTATGGAAATGTATCAAAACTAATTTACTATAGGTATCGTGGTATACTAAATTCACTCCAACACATGTAAGATGGTCTTCGAAAAACATCATCCACCCCCTACATAAATAATCAAATGTTTTTCATTGAGACAGTAACTAAAATTAAAGATAGCCTAGTAAAAAGAGGGTTTTCTAGTTTTCAGGATGTTTATAAAAGCTATGGTGTGTGTCAGTTTCCCTTCCTTTTGGAACAGTTTTAATTCTAAGTGGGAGAGATTGCTGTTATAAAGATTGATCTCCAGTGTCCAGTAAAGTCGGTGAATGTGCCTACGTGATTTACTCTCAGTTTTGTTGGAGCTTTATCACTGATCATACAGAATCTTTCCGGTCTTTTTCAAGTAACATGTTCAGTGATCAATGGATTTTTCATATTTTTATTATTTCCTGCATTATCACACAAATTGCTACTTCTGACAGTGATAATGGTAAGTTAATTTTTCTTATTTATTCCTTTTTTCAAATTTTTAATTGTTATTTAAATTATTGGCAATTGTTTTTTTCAGAGCATTTCACTTATTCTTCACTCTTTATTTTCTGATATAAAATTGTTTATTACCTAAAAGTAATTACAATCACCTTTGATAAATTATCATTTCCTAATTAGAAGACTTTTAAATTAATAATGAGGGTGTTTAATATATTTATGAGTGTTGTATATCAGCATGATATGTTTTGATCAATTTTAATAGGATGAATAGATACATTTTCATTAGCTTTATTCATTTAATATAATAGTAATTTTATTTTTAAAAAAAAAGAAACAAGAGAAATCGTTTAAAATACTTAGTTTCTGTAAAATAAATGATCTAGAATATTTTTTGTTTTCGTTTGGCATCCAATGAACCATAAATTAGAAATTATTCATTCAATTGTAAAATTTCCACAATTTTTTTTCATCATTCATTGACATTTTACTGGACTAAAAAGTGATTAGATCATCAGCTATATGTGTTAGCAATGCGGATTAGTTAAGTGACAATAAAAAATGATCAAAGAAAAATTTAATCTGGTTTGCAGAATATTGGAGCTAAGTAATCAGTCATAGCTTTTCAATCATTGATAGAACAACAACTAAAGATTGTTTTATTTAATCATTTAGGGTGAAATGTAATAATTTTTATCATAAACAAAATGTTATATCTTATTTCTCTTTACGTAGGTCTGAATGAGTTCTGGTATATACGTGACAGAGTGGTGTTAAAGCGCGCTAAAGAATACTGAAATATCATATTGAAAGAGGGAAATGAACACTCGCTGAACGTCCTACGGTTGTAAGCGTCATTCTCACCGCTACAAACCTCCTCATATCAGCATATTTATGACAATTTTATTATGGATATTTTTAAAATAACTTAAAATGACCAAATATGCTTGAAAAAATTAATTTTGGAGAAGTATTAATTCAAGTTACATAAAATACTCCAAAAGTATGACAATTATTACTGACTTATTTTAATTAATAATAACAACAACAACAACTAATAATTATATATAACACAATTAAAATTGTTTATACAGTAAAACATTTAAAAATATAATGAAAAATGTTGGTCAATAATTTTAAAGCCGATTGAGTTTCTTAAAAACGATGAAATACTTTGTAACTATTGAAGGAAATAGATTTTTGAGTGGGAATCAACGATGAAAACCCACGAGTATTTTTAGTAGTTTTGATTACAGCCAGGATACACGATATTAAAGATCATTAAATTAATCGTCATATTATTAGAATAAAAATAAATACTTATCAAATTTTGAATTAATAAAATTCAAAGTTTGAACTTCAAATACTCCTGATGTGTATTAAAATAATCATGAATAGGTGCGATATTATCAATGAAATGTATCATATTAATCTATTGATACCCACAATAAACCACGACAATTTGTTCATGACAATGTAATGATAGTTCGAAATGAACTGATTTTATTATAATGTAAGTGCATATGGAACTGAGGATGTTCAAGTAACAATGCCACACTTGAAATGGAAACTAAATATAACAAAGAGTGAATTGATAATAAATTATTTAACTTTTTATTATTTAGAAGCTTAGGATTAATGGAAATATATGAAGAAAAAATAATACAAATAAATAAACGCTTGTAAGAATTATAACTTTTTAGATAAATAATTGCTCAAAGTTACTCATCAGTCACAAACCTAACTGTAATACAATTTAATTAGTTTCCGTAAAAATCATAATTCGTGAAAACTCGTACTACTTTTCATAATACAAACTAACAATTAACAAACTCACTAAGTAAGAACTGTTTTTCTCTATACAATTTAAAAAAAAAAAAAAAAAGCGCAACTATGTTGAAAAAAAACATTGATTTTAATCAGAAGTCTTTTAAAAAATCAATTGAAATTAAAAAAATATATTCAATAATTATCAGAAAATGATTTAATTGATTCAATTAAAGAGTGATTTATTACCTGTTATAAATTAAATTATTCTACCTCAGAAAAATCTTTTCCTGAATACAATTACTGAACTGTAATAAATAAATTAGTGCATGAAATTACAATTATATGTATTAATTAACATATAATGATTATTTTGAATAATTAATTATTAGATTAGAATATTAATACTTTCCTCATACTGAAATTATTTCATTTCTAAATGTCATGAATGTTTTTTTATCATCATCAATTGCTTCCAAGTATTTTTATTTATAAATCAATTAATTTTTTTGTTTGTTTCAGATGTGATTGTAATAAATGTAGCTTCAAATAGAACCGATGGATACGAAAGGTATTTGCGATCCACTAGAGTATATGGCTTTGAGGACAAAGTGATAACCCTAGGTCTAGATAAACCATGGAAAGGAGGAAATATGAACAGTGTTGGTGGGGGATATAAAATTAATCTCCTGAAAAAAGAATTAAAGAAGTACAAGAATGATCAAGAAAAGCTTATTATATTCACTGACAGGTAAGTCATGGTCTAGATCATTCATAGTGATGATTGTTTGATCACTCATCATTGCATTAGAATATTAAACATGTTATTAAATAAGTATTAAATCACTGTTATATATTTTTATTACAGTTATGACGTAATTTTTTCATCGGACCTGGACACCATCATCAAAAAGTTTAAAATCTTCGACGCTCGAATATTATTTGCAGCAGAAAAGAGCTGCTGGCCAGACAAGGAACTCAAATCCAAATATCCAAGTGTTTACAATGGAGATCCTTATCTTAATTCCGGTGGTTTTATTGGATATGCTTCGGATTTATATGAAATTCTAAATACTCAAGAAATTGGAAATACTGATGATGATCAACTTTTTTATACTCATATTTATTTGAATCTTGAATTGAGAAATAAACACAAAATCAAATTAGATCATAAATCGGAAATATTTCAAAATCTACATGAATCTACGGGCAAGTAGTATTGTTATTTGACATTTTGTTATTATTTAAAAAAATTTCATTGCGATTGCTAATCGATCGAGAATTTTTCCTGGCTTTTTAATCAATTTCAATAAATTATTCTTCTTCTTCAAAGCTAATATCTAATAAAATGTATTTTCATTGCAGGAGATATTGAATTAAGATTCAAAGAGAATGAAGCTTACATTCAGAACATAGCACACAATACTGTACCTTCTATAATCCATGGAAATGGTCTGAGTAAAACTATTTTCAATTCTTTGGGAAATTACCTGGCCAAAGCATGGAGTCCAGAAGAAGGATGTATGAATTGTTGGGATAAAACAATCGAGCTTCTAGATGAAGAAGTTGAAACATACCCACCCATTGTTATTGCTGTATTCATTGATCGTCCTACGCCATTCTTGGAAGAATTTCTTGACAAAGTTCAGAAACAAACGTATCCAAAGTCCAAATTATTTCTATTCGTTTATAATAATGAAGTCTATCATGATGGTCTCGTAAGGAGTTGGATTGATAAGTACGGTGATAAATACAAAAGCTTGAAAGTCATTCATCCAGATGATCAAATTGATGTATCGACAGCAAGAAATTTAGCTCTGTATGTATTTTTTTTTATTATATTTAATAATTATTTAAAATAAGTTTCCTAATTATTTTAAAATAAAATAGTTTAACAAAAATTTTTATTAATTTGTGTTTCACCGACTAATGCATTCTATCAACTGAGTTACAGACTGCTTTGTGCAGTAACTTTATCATTGGATAAATGATTATGAACATTATTTATCGTCTAGTCTAGTAAATTTGATGATTATTTAAATAGTTTCTTGATTTAACATCATAAAGATTATTTTTGTCTATCATTTAATAAACAATATTTATATTTTATTTAATTACAGATATAATATCCGTAAAAAATTCCAAGTTCATGCAAATAAATTTTTAATATTTATAATTAGATTTTTTTTTATTATTATGTAAACTAAACTAACTGAATGAATTTTGTATTTTATTTTAGAAACTACTGTCTACTAAAAGAATGTTCTGGGTACTTTTCCATTGATTCAGTGGCTCATTTGGACAACGAATATACTCTAAAACTCTTAGTTGAACAACAAAGAGGAATCGTAGCACCATTATTGGTTAGACCTGGTAAAACTTGGAGTAACTTCTGGGGTGCGGTTGCTGATAATGGTTACTATGCTCGTAGTTCTGATTACATGGAAATTATTGAAAACAAACGCCGGTAAGTAAATCAAATAAATTATCATTTACAATATTTAAAATTTTTATTTTGTATAATTTCAAAGTTTTATAAATTTAGTTAATATTTTTTTCTGAATCAGCTACCAAATTGACATAATATCATTTAAATAATTAATTTATTTTCAATAGATAAATATTAAAGAAATATTCCTCAAAAAATAATTGAAAAAGGTATTTAGATCATTTGAAAAATATTAATCGAATGCAATAGAAAAATCAGTTTTAAAGGATCTTCGATCAATAGCATACATATTGTCTGCAGTACACTCATATACTCCAGCATCCATTTGAGTGGCTGGGTCAATTTCTAATTTAGATTTTACGGTATCATTTCTTACTTGCCATTCATGGACCTGTTGGGAAATTAGATAATTTCAAAATTGATATTTTTATTCCTTCAGTTAAAAATTATTTATTCAAATAATAATTTATCTTGAAGGCTTAGATTTCATATAAATTATTTAATTAAAAAATTTCATACACTTACATGAAGATACAGATGTGTATAGATTTCAGCACCATCCTTAAACCACGTTATGTGTGGACGTGGTGAGCCCCTAGCAACGCAAAGAAATGCAATTTTATGTCCTAGTACATACTCCAAATCGAAATGAGAAGCCAATAAAATTTTAGCACCCTAAATCACAGATAGTAAATAATCTTCTTTTAATTAATAATTCGTATTAGTTTTTCAACATCTTTAAAAATAAAATACTTCACATTATTATTGTTATAATATTGATCACTCTCTGGATCACGGTATTTTCCAGTAATAGGTAAACCAATTTGAACGCGAGATTTACTTTTGACTCGTGTTTTTCCTCTTCGTCCATAAATTTCTGGACACATTATCAATATCACCACTAAGACTATGATTCCAATATGACGTTGCATCGTTGCAATATTAATCAATAGTTGATATTAAATATTGACAAAAAAAATATTGATGAAAGAAAGCAAAATAAAACCAATAGAATAACTAAATAGTGATCCGCAGTTTTGACCAGTATAGTGAGAAGCGCAATGTGCACTCGTAACCGGCAATATTGTGGATGAAGATGATACAGAATGTCGATGTAACTGACAGTGATTGTTCATTACTCCCCTAGTTGTCCACTCCTATCTATTACAGACTTATAGCTCATAACAATAGTAATCTACCTACATAGAGTGAGATACATTTGTGTGGCTAAAGTCATTTTAGTAATCTTCCGCGTCTCTTTGCTGCTTCTACCTCCCTCATTCTGTCACATTAATACCACATTTATTAACAATCACTTTAAATATTTATTTTTCATATAAAACTCTAATATAAAATTATCATGGAATATTTTTTATTCTATCTTAATTATGTCATTTAAATTTTATTTAAATTATTTATGTTTTTTTTTTTTATAAAATTATAAATTGAAAAGGGTTACATTAATTAAAACATGTCAAATTCTATCTACATATGAAGTATAAATAGCTTCTGAAGATTTACATCAAGAAAATCAAACCAAATCATCAAGAATAATATTAACAATTATAAACTGTTGAAATCAGGATCATGTATGGAATATTCATTTATTGTTTATTATTCCAAAGATATTGTTTTAAATAATTATTCTATTATCAGAGATGATATGATTCGATGAATAGAAAGTGCAAAATGGACTCCAATGATATCAAACAAAATTTAAGAATAAAAACTAGCAAAAAAAGAATTGGGATGTTTGTTAAAAAATGATTTATAAGATTATGATTTACATTACATGGAGATATAATACACATTAGGATGGGTTGTCATAATTATTGAGCTATCCAATGATCCAAGAGGGGGATCTAAAGATGCTCAAGTGCAAAATTGCAGATTTTTAAATATTCATAAAACGACAATGAGTCCGAGGCTTATTGTTAAATTACCGTAAATCATTGTAATAAATAGAGCGAGGGTCACAATCAATTGAATTATTGTTAACTGTATAAAATATAATATTACTAAGATGCCAACATCGAAAAAGCATTTTTAAAAAATTACATTAATCAACATAGGTACATATGAGTGTATTAACAGTTGGAACTTAATTATTAATATATCATGTCAATATGAGATCATAACATAGTCTGTCCTGAAGCCTCGACGATCTACAGCATATTGATTGTCAGCTTGACATTCATAAAAACCTGCATCTTTTTGCGTTGCAGGATCTATCTCCATTTTTGATTTTATTGTGTCATTTCCAACTGGCCATTCATGCACCTGGAAATGTTTAAAGATTAGCACAATAATTAGTGATGGATACATGATCTTTCTAATTATTTATTGATGACAATTATTAAGATTTATTATTAATTATTGCAATGCAATGAAAACTCCATACAATTAATTAATGCTTAATTTTATTCAATTCGATAAAGCTTTATCAGTTTATTGAATACAAAAAGCTTCCAGTGCTACCCCACTTTCATCAAAATACATTAAACACCAAGATGTGTGCAAGCCTAGCTAAACAGTAAGTAATGGCAGGTATAAAGTAATCATTAAAGTTTTTTAATGATTGAAAAAAGAATTCAATCTCTAAGATTAATTCATCAAAGACTTAAACATGCTCTGATATTGAGGATTAAGAAAATGAAATTAAATCTTCAGGTATTTTGTAATAATTAGAGTCTAATCTACTAAATATAAGTTTGTATCAAATAGGAATATCATAAAGTTTTCAATAAGACTGGAACTTAATTATCTTGAGATAAAAAAGTAATGAGATACCTCCAAGAATAATTCTATTTTTTATTATTATTTTTTTCAATCTTTTTTGTGGAAAGGATTTGATTTAAAAATAATTGAAGAATTTATTTTAAAAAAAAAGTTATCAATAAAGTAAGAGCAGTCTATTGATTTGTAATAATGCTGGAATTGATAGCAACATTGGCTATTAATGATCGATAGAATATTTATGAGATTAAGACATTTTTTAGAGTTAAATTAAATAAATTAAAAAATAAAATAGCACTAAATGTTTATCAATGATGCACCTTAGCTAACTTACTTGAAAAAATCGGTGATCATACAATTCAATTTCGTCTTTAAACCAAGTTATTTCTGGTCTAGGGTATCCACGTGCCATACAAAAAAATGTTATTTTCCTTCCCAACATGTAGTCCAATTCAAAATGAGATGCTTTCACTATTTTTGCTCCCTAAAAAAAATTCATAATGATTATATTCTATCATCCGCAGTAAAATAAATCAATCTTTGGAATAATTAACATCAACACATCATATCTATCAACATGCTATTCGAACTACCCAAGTAAAAATAATTTAAATTAATAAAATAGATAAAAATCATTGTTAATTTTATTTCATTATTTTAATTTGCTTAATTTACTTCAATTAATCACCAAATTAATTAGAAAAGCTCTGATTAGATAAATCTTGAATTATCTCAGAAACTTACATCCTTATTCTCGTAGTATCCTGCACTAGTAGGATTTCGATTTGGAATAAGAATAGGCATTCTTGAACCATAAAGACGACCCCTTCCTCTACCTCGAGCACCTCTACTTCCAGCTTTCGCACCTTCCACCGTGGTATGAAGCATCAGCAATAGAAAGATTGCCCCAAGCTGCCAGTACTTCATTGGACCTGTTGATGTGATAAAACAAAAGGTGTACCAAGTGACCAAGAGATACCAGATAAAATAATTAGCAAAGGAAATACGATTGTGAACAATTAGATGCTCACTTACTCGGTCAAGAAATAGCGCGAATTGATCAAATCACTTGACTAATAATAATAGAGTTGCTTTTGTATGAATAAAATGATATGAAACTGATTCACGGCTATTGTCTTCAAGCCCAAAACATGAATGGACCCATACACGATAGAAACGCCGGCTGCAGTGTCAGAGTTATGAATCTCAATTGGATAATTATGCGTAACCAATTGCTAGTTGGGTCCGACCAATCACGACACCACAGTATTTTTCTACCTAAACATTCTTCTAACTTAGGCTTATTAACCTTCGAAATTATTAATCTTCACAGCTTCATAATCAACTTGTTCATGCTACAAATGATATCATAAATGCACTTGCGACCTGCACTAACGTTGCAGCTATTATTAAATTCAATCATTATTATCATTTCGACCTTTTTTTTATCTTCTTCATAGTTCATGGTAGAAATTTCTAAACATTTACAAACAATTATAGAAAGCTGCTGATAGTTTTTTTTTCAACAATTCAAACTCTTTGATGAGCTTCAGGATTGTTTTAATTCTGACTATTTGGTAGAGATTATGTGGAAAAGGTTGGAGAGTAGAATTTTCTAGAGAATTTCTGAATTTATTGTTTTGAAGAGCAATGAATGCTATTGAATATTCTGGTAAAATTATTATTCAAGATAGAATTCATTTTTACATTTTAATACTACTAATGGAATTTTATTTTTCATAGCAAAGTTTGATTTAATTATAAAAACCAATATTATTTCGTTTATTATGTAAATAAATTTCATAAAAGATTTCCTTTTTTTGTTTTAGAGGACTATGGAATGTTCCATACATCAATAATTGTTACCTGATCAATGTAACCATCATCGACAACCCAGCAACTCGACCACTTTATAACTATGAGGACTTGGATCCAGATATGGCATTTGCTGTGACCAATCGATATCGACAAATTTTCATGTACGTTAGTAATCGATTAGAATTCGGACACTTGGTGAATCCTGAATACTTCAATACTCAATATACAAATCCTGATGTTTATGAAATCTTCAATAATAAATATGATTGGGAAAAACGTTACATTCATGAAAATTATTCAAGTAATTTTGACCTGGAAGCTCCACCACATCAGGTAAATTTTCAGCATGATTAATAAGCAATGTAATAAATGATTGAATATAAAATTATTGCTGATTATGTTTTCAGCCCTGTCCAGATGTTTATTGGTTTCCAATTGTCACTGACAGGTTCACGAAAGAATTCGTTGAAATTATGGAAGCATACGGACAATGGTCAGATGGATCAAATAAAGTAAAAATTAATAAATTATTTATTATTAATAATATTTCAACTTGTTCGTTGGTACCATCAACAAAATCAGTCATTGACAATTGTTGTAATGCAACAATCAATTGATAATTCTAAAGAACCATGAGTAAAAATGGCTATTAAATTCTCTTGAGATTAATTTCCTAAAAAATGACTCATTGTTCAGATTCAATTGAAATAAATTAATTTAATTTTTGAATGTTTTTATCTCGATTATGAAAGCTGCTAAATGAGTATCAGAATACCAACGAACGAATTAATCTTAATTAACAAAGAAGTAATTTTATTATTTATCAGATCAAATCAAATCATCAGTCTAGTTTAGTAGAATAATCTGATATTCCGTTTAAATTTATTCAAAATTTTATATCAAAACTATTGCTAATTCCTAGATAAAATTTATAAACAACATCATAAATTTTTAATTATATTATGAAAATTGTTAAATGAATTTCACAGGATCCTAGATTACAAGGTGGTTATGAGAATGTACCAACACGTGATATTCATATGAATCAAGTTGACTATGAGCCTCACTGGCTGTATTTCTTAAAGGAGTATGTCAGGCCATTACAAGAGCTCGTGTTCATTGGCTACTATCACGATGTAAGATTTTATGAATAAAAATGTATTATTCTGCATAATATTTCTAGGATCCAAGGATTGAAGGCGGGTACGAAGCAGTTCCGACTCGGGATATTCATATGACCCAAGTTGATCTGCATGAAGCATGGTTAGAGTTTTTGCGGATATATGTAAGCCCATTGCAACAACTTGTCTATCTTGGATATGAAGACTACGTAAGACTTGAAATTTTTCAATTCACCACCAACACAATTGGTTGCACATGGGTGTTGGACATATCTTATCACGCAAAATTTCTTTTAGCTTATTTATTTCGACTTTTACAAATTATTCGTCAGAAATTGAGCACATTTATTGATAAATTTATGCTCATAATTAATAAAATTATCAATAAAACTAACCGGGGAAGATGAAAATTTATAAATCCTTGGAGACGGAAACTTTTTGGATATTTCAATAAGATAAAATGGCTTTCTGTGGTTTAGTATTGAGTTTTATAATGACAGAACTTTGATTGATAAATGATCATGATAGAATAATGACAAAAGGACTACTTATAGTATGGATCCAAAGCCATTGGAAATTTCTAAAAGTCATTTTATCTTAGTTTGTACATAAAAGATTATAAGAATATTTAAATGATTGATTTTAAAACTATCATAATAGAACCATAATTAAAAAAAGAAAATTTTTCACAGCCTCCAAGATCTTTGATGAATTTCGTAGTGAGATACAGGCCAGATGAACAACCGTCTCTTCGCCCTCACCATGACAGTTCAACTTACACAATAAACATAGCATTAAATCAAGTTGGTGTCGATTATGAAGGAGGCGGATGTCGTTTTCTTCGATACAATTGCTCAGTCACCGACACAAAACGAGGCTGGATGTTAATGCATCCGGGTAGACTAACGCATTATCATGAAGGGTTATTAGTAACTAAAGGAACGAGATACATCATGATTTCATTTGTGGATCCATAATAACTTAACTACCAAAGTGATGATAATTTATATACATTTATAAATTCACTTACATTATGTTATTCATGTTTTTTTTAAATCTATGACGTCCAAGCATCAATTTAAAATAACTCATTTTTCATTAGTTTAATTAATCCGTTATTTTTGTCCACGATTATGAAAGTGATATTTTTTTACTAAAGTATATATGATATGTAATGAAATGAATACAAGTTAATAACGCAGTTTGAATGTTTATGTATAAATTTTGACAAATATTATATGTAAATAAGATAAAAAAAAATAATAATAAAAATAATAGATGTAAAGGTTGGATAAAATTTTAACATTTTTTAGTATAAATACTTTTTTATATTTTCATAAATCTAGTATTATACAACTATGTATTAATATAATTTTTCTTCAAACAGACAAAACAAATGTGGCAGTTGACATATGAAAATATCGAAGATGTGTAGTTTCTAGATATTCCCCCGAATAAAATATATAAAATAAAATATTTTAATTTCGAATTTATAATCCTGTAGATAATAACTTTAAAACATTTATTATTCTCCAACATCATAGGAACATTCATGATTGAATTTCATGCTTTATCAAGCCTCAAATTTATTATAACACATTCAATTAAATATCTTCTTATATCTCTAGATATATTTTTATATATATCATCTGCTATTATTTACATGGTAAAAATTTATATCGCTGAATTATCTTTCTTTGCAAATAAATAATTTTAAATTCATTATCATATTTATATTTAAATTCATGCAATAAATAAATTAGTTAACATATGTATACAACATATGTTTGATCGACAAACAAGCACTGAAAAGCAGCAAAGTAATTTATTAAACCTTGCTTAAATTGATGTCAAATTGGTTAGCGGAAAATTTTAAATTGTATTTATATTATCACGAATTATTAATTCATTATTTACATTTTGTTTACATTTTCGTTATTGTAATTAAAAAATAAGATATATTTAATAACCAGCTCGCTTCAATTCATTCAATTGATGAGCTAGTTTTTCTTCTTTTGTCCGTCTCGCTTGGCCTAGTTTTCGACACTCAATATAGGTACTTAAAAAACGTTCAACATCAATTTTTTGTTCTAAAAAACTTTCCGCTATTTTCTCACTTTGTTCATGGCTTTCATCAGCTGCTCGCTTGAGACATTCCTTTATATGATCAGGAGTGAAAACTTGTGACAATTTATTGTATTGCTGAATTAAATTATCGTAACGTGCTTTCAACTCCGATACAGTATTAATTTTCGATGCCACTTCATCTCGGAGTGCTTTTAATTCAGTCTCTTTGGATAAATTATCAGCTACAAATAATAATAAATTATTTTAGATACTATAAAATTCAATAAATTATTTTTAAATTAGGTTTGGTAGTTTAAAAAAATACTTACATGCTAATTTTTCAACATCATCTATCGTTTCATCGATCAACGAGTTAATGTTTTTTATTTTTTCGGAATGTTCATAAAGAAAATCATCAAGACTTTCTTGGTCATTTCTAAGTTCAATAAGTTCCTCATTACTTAAATTATTCAATTCCGGAAATTCAAAACTATTCACAGGATGCATTGACGAGTTAGATGCAGATGGACCATAGTTTGAATTTCCATAATGCGAATTAATGTAAGCGGGCGTTGGACGATCACTAGAGTATTGAACGGGACTCACACTTCCAGTTGATTGACCAGGACTATTACTATATGTTGGACGGTGTGAAGTTGATGCAAATGACGTTGTTTCTTCATTTGATGCACTTGAGTTCACATAATTATATTTATAAATATTCGAACTAGGTGGAAACGTTGGATATTGAGAATTATAATAAGAGTTATATAACATTGATTGTAATTCAGGCAATTGTTGTAATCCATAGGTTGACGCATTATCTTGCAATTCTGGAAAATTAACAAATTGTTTTAGAAAAATTTTTATTTGAATTTTTCATCTAAAAAATTATATTCATACATGACTCTAAGTTACAATACCTAGAGATTTTAAATTTGAAGCTAATGAAATTTCATCAATCACTTGAGGTGGGTTTTTACTAAATTCCCGAATTATCGCTTGTACCACACGTCCGAGATCGCTATGCATTGTGAACTGTAAAATAAATAATTTAAAGAATTAAATCAATGAAAATAATATTGAACTAGGTTGTTGAATATTTTAAAATTATATTTAGTTTAAGAATGAAACTGTAAAGTTGTTTGTAATTAATAAATAAAGTACTCCAACAAGATTGAAATAAGGAAATTATTAATTTAAAAAGTATCGATTGACTTTTTGACCAAAGAGAAATTAATCATGAGATGTGTTTACGTTAAGTAATCCTGGGGCACGAGTAATTTCACTATGTTCATTACACCATGAGTGTGACACAGGGGGAGATACCCTCAGGATAGGTTTTTCCAAAGGAAAATCAGGAGTTAGTGACACCATAATAGCCATCCTTTTATCGCCAGCATCAAATTGTACTTGATATTCAGCATCTTCTCTCAACTCCACTACACTAAAATTTACAAAATTATTAATTACAACAATATGAATTGACATTGCAACATGATTATGTAGAAATATCATTTAAAAAGACGTTAACTGATTTTTCAAGTTGTTGGCAAAAAAATCTTAAAAGATCTTTGGAATACTTAGTTAAAATTGAATGATTTATGAGGTTAATTAAAGGTTAATATAACTTACTTGTCGTTAAAAATTTTAAGTGTATCAATTTGACGTTTTCTTTTAACAGCAGTATTCTCATGTTCTCCACGGAATATTCGCGATATCATTTAAATGCCTTGATTTCAAATAATACATCCGTTGATTTATTAATAGTTCTTTCAATTGTGTACAAAAGATTTAAATGAAAACGTGACTTGTACATACAAATATATTTAAACTGAAATCCAAATGCATAAATAATTCAGATTGAAATAATCTGATTATAAGTCTTATCTTAAACAACGTAGAAGAGTTAGATCATTTATCCTCCAGCCAATTAAGTATAATAACCCTGAAGAGCTTGGATTCTTTCCTCTGATTATAATTGTTTAGTGAAATGATTGAATGTTTTTTGAGTATTGTATTATTGAATAACTAGTCAGTCGACTATAAATATTAATGTTATTTTACTGGTATCATGAAAAACCTAATGTGTTTTTTAAATTTTGTAGACTGAATTTAATCATACAACAACAAACTTAATGATGATTTTATTATATGAGTAAATTTTATCTTAATAAGTTTGACAGTTTCATTTGCAATAGATTTGTTTCACGCTGGATAGAAAGTTTACACCAATGATTTCACTATTTCTTAGATTTTTTCTTCACTTACGTAATAATAAATATTTTAATTATTATTCGATGATATAAAATTTTTGAATAAATAAAAAAGAATTTTAATTGATTTTTTATTGTATAATATTAATGTTAACTAAAATCTTCTGACCACAATAGTTTATTTTTTCTGAAAAACACTATGGCCATCTTGTAACCATAGCTAATACTAAAGTAAAAACTACATAGATAGAAAACTCCTTGAAAAGCCAAATATTATGCTTCATAATTTCTCCGCTAAGAGTGAAACTGAAAAATACTTTTTACGCCATCTGAAGATTTTTTTCAAAATGATATATATTTAAATCACACGTTTTGGATAAATACACAAAAATAAACATTAATTTTTTAACATTTCATTATACACATCTTTTTTAAAGTTATATTCTGGACTTTAACCGATTTGAGTGCATGCTTTATTCCAACAAACCTGCAAATATACATATAGATTAGATTGAACTCAATTTAATAATTAGAGTTTTTTTGTATTTATACTTGAAGCATAAATTATTTTGTTAAAAATTATTAATACTTTATTAATGTCACAGGGTGTTCCATCCAAAACCAACGTTACATTCAATATAACTCTTTTACCAAGTTCACATTGAAATCCTTTTGCACAAATATCACTGCCAGTTATTTTCTATAAAAAAGCACATGATTTAATTGAGGAGTCAAAAGAACAAAAATTAAACTCGGTTCGTGGGTGATCAAAAATCAATAATTACCATATCATTATGATATTTATAAGAATAATCATAACACCAACATTGATCATTTTTGCTGACTAGAATAGATGGACTAGAGCTGCTTACTCGTGGTTTGTTTATAAACACACAATAGTCTTCTGTCCTATAGGTAAGAAATGTTTTCAAATGTAACTTCTATGCTAATATTACTAATATTATTTTCATAACCGATAAAATTATTAAACATGTACAAAAGAAAAATGTACCAGTCGTAATAATCAGCACATTTTGAATCAAAGTCTCTGATAATAGTTGATTGACTACTTTTAGTGCTGTTGTATTTTTTAATGTAATTGGCACTCCCAATCCTGAAACAACAAAATGGTTTTATAATTTCTGAAATTATTATTGATGTAATAATCGTGAAATGTGTATTTTACAGCAATTCTTACAAGTGGAAGAGATGGTGTGCAACATTTGCCACTGATGGATAGTTCAAGGAACTGTTAGATATAATCAATGGATAAGATCGAAAAGATTCTGATTTTCTGGTTTGATAGATTCCAAATGTTGGATAGCTCAACAATCCTAAAGTAATTGGAAGGTATTATATAAAACACACAACGAAACAATTGGTAATTCTATTTTCCTAGTACATTCCAATCAATCTTAAAGAAAACTTTATTTACCTTCTGTTACTTTATTGGTTTCAGTGTCATATAAAGAAAAACTGTAACATAATCAGTTTGATGTATAAAGTTTGATTAGTTTCATCTTATTATTAAAATACAAAATAATACTAACTCAGTTAAATGGAGAATATAATCAAATAAATCTCGATTGGATAAATCACGAGGTAGATTTGGTAAGGCCTCATAAAAAGCATCAACTACTTGAGGAATTTTGTATTGATGGATATCATCACTGAGAGCACTGTTCAAGAAAAAAAATCTTCCATCTTCGTACCTCTGTAAGTAATAATTGCATATTGCAATAAATATAGAATATGATATTTTTTAGTAATATGACAATACGAAAAAGATTACTTGGTTGAATATTATTCCGGCAATATTTATCCTAAAATTAGTTTCTGAGAATAACATATTGATCACATTGAGGAAAGATAAAACTTGCATAACATAAAGCTTTTGTCGATTACTTTCTCTTTTCATTTCACCAGGAAATTGTCTGGAAAATTATATTAATTTTAATTATGTGTTATCATAATACGTAATCAATAAATGTTTATAAATGTATGGTAGATACTCATTGACCAATATTCCATCAATAAAAACCAGCGTTTCCAAGTAAAATTCTGGATTTTCATACGAGTTTCCTATGTTTGTTTCTATGCATTGAATTTTTAAAAAATACATTAGATTAACAAATAATATATCAAAAGAGATTGATAGATAAATTTTTATTTTAATCGTGAGCTGAAGAAATAAATTTTAAAAATTGATTACTCAATGCTTCTGATATACTCCTAGTTCTTCTCTTAATTTTTTTAGGAATAACATCTGTAGAATCTACGCTAATATTAGCAACTCCTTTATATTCAGCGTATGGTTTATATTTAAGAACGTACTTTTCGCCAATTATTCCATTCTAAAATAATAAAGATCAATTATTATTTTCGCTTTTTATTTAACAATACTGCTTATTAAAAGGTCTAGGGAAAATCACTATTTTTATAAAATGTTCAATATCAATAATTGTAAATAATTTACTTACTACCAAGCAATTACCACCAAAAATTGACTGATTATAGAATACAACTGCAGAATGAGTAGGTTTATCATAATAAAATGTTGTTAGATTTTTAAAAGAAGATATCTGAAATGTGCATTATTATAAATTATTATCGATACATCAGTTCAATTTTCATATCTATTAATTTAATTAATAAGATATTTATATGTTACCTGACCAAGATTGCTGAAATTATTGGCAGCATTTTTATTATACGCATATACAAATGCATTCCAATTAACCAGATAATCAGGTTCCATCTTTGAAAGCTCAAACGTTTCTGTATGATTACCATGAATTATCTGAATTCTTAAGATGTTTGGTGGAAAAACGTCTCGCTTATTACGATCTTTTAATATAAAATATGTATTAAGACAATTTTTTATGTACTGATAAAGTTACTATTCTTTATTTAAACAATATTATTTACCTAAAATTCCATTTTTATTGTTATGATAATGATCATCATGGCTATTGATGGCTCTTATTGAAAATAATATAGTAAATAAAAAAATAAAACTATTTATATAAACTCTTAAAAATTGGGCCATTATGTGGAGCAATGTTTTTTAACCATCAAATACTTTTTGCATTCTGAAATTACATTATTTATATATCCTTTGTAGATGATAATTCTATTTATGTTAACTTTGAAAAAATATTTGCAGAAAAATATTGAATCGTATCAAATTATCTCTGAAGAAAATAATAGATGAATTCTTCGAACATAGACAAGTTCTTTCTATACATCTCTATTTAATAATAGATGCTTTTATCTTATCACAATGCATATTGTCTTTTGATTTTTCCATTTTTTTGCAGAATTGAAACATTATTTTATTTTTTTCAATTATTCAAAAACTTGTTTGATTGTAATACAAATTATCATGCAGGTAAAATTCTTTGTTTAGTATTCCTGTACGATGGAAACTTTGCTCAAAATCAAATGTTATTTTTTTAAAGCATAAAACATGATTAATCAATAAAAATATTGAAATTTTTTTATGATCATTGACGAACATCATTAAATAAATCCACAGTCTTACAAAAAAATATTTATTTATTTAATATTAACATTCTACAATTTATAATGTTAATTTTTTAATATAAAGTTTTGCTTTCTTTAAATAGTAACGACGATGATTCATACCAGAGAAGGACTTATGATTATGTTAATCCTTTTTTTCAATTACAATTAATAATCTCACTTACATCACTTACAAACACACAAAAAACAAAGTGACTGTGGTTTTAAAAGACGAACAATATTATGAATAAATAATAAAAACTATTACTTTTTATCTTTATAACATATTTAAAATATCTTTTTGTGATAATCGGTAATATAAACATTAATTATTATTTATGATATAAAATAAAACTTTTTAAATCAATAATAATCATAAAAAAAATCTAATGACTATTTTTACTCTTTACAAGAGCTCTTTTTAATTTCTATTTTTTTTCTTTATCACCTCAGCTTTTCTAATTATCATAGTAATTATTATAAAAAAAATCCGTTCATTATTTATGCCTTATTCATTATTATCACTTACTAAAATTTCATAATTCAGAAAATCAGCATTCTGCTCATTTATACTTAGTCCATATGTAATTAATTCAAGAACATATCCTTTGAATATTTCAAAAATTTTTATATAAGAATCAATCTTATCTTGATAATTATTTGTACTTCCATTCATATTGTCCTTATTAGAATAATTAAAATTTTCTTCGTAATTATTTTGAATTTGATTAATTCCATTTAAAACATAATGAAAAACAGTTCTACTGTTACAGTCAGAAATATTAATATCAGCTCCACATTTCAAGAGACTTTCAACTGTTTGTACATTTCCTTTTTTTGCTGCAAAATGAAGAGCTGTTCTTCCACATGCATCTTTGCTATTAACATCTATGCCAATATTGATTAAAATTTCAACTAAATCTAATTTTCCATGTTCAATAACGAGATGAAGTAACGTTATTCCTTCGTCATAAGTTATATCAATGTTTGCATTATTAGCTAAAAGTAGTTTTGCGCTATCAAAGTTTTTCCAACAGTTTATAAAGTTAAAATCATTAGCAGGAATTTGACATCTTGTAACATACTTAACGATAGAATCAAAGTCCACACCTTTAAAAGATACAGTCGAAGAATTTTTGTCTTGCATACAGGCATAGAACAATGGTGTCTTTCCTTTTACGTCTATAGCATCAATCTCTGCATTATGTTGTAGTAAAAGTTTTATAATATCCAACACAGTTGACGGATGATCTTGGCACACAATATGAAGAGGCGTCTGTCCATTTTTGTCTCTGATATTTGAGTCAGCATCATTCTCTAAAAGAATTCTGATTACTTGGACGTCAAAATTATTTGTCGCTATATGGAGTGGAGTTTGACCATCTTTATTTTGAGAGTTAGGATTTGCATCGTGCACTAGAGAATATTGAATTATAAATTTACGACCCCGTTCACATGCAATATGAAGAACAGTCGTACCGTCTTGGTCAGGGATGTTAACATTAGCATTATATTTTAAAAGAACTCGAGTGATTTTATGAAAATGATAATGAACAGCTTCAATAAGTGGTGTTCTTCCTTTTGAACATTGAGCATCAACTTTGGCTCCTTTTGCTAAAAGCAACTCGCATATTTCATGTCTTAAACTTTTCTGATTATGAGATTCTTTCATTTTAGCGCAAACATGCAGAAGAGTTTCTTTCTCATCATTAATAGCGTTGACATTACCTCCGTGGTCTAAAAGTAACTGCAAAATTGCCTTTTGATTTTTTTTAATTGCAATACTGGCCATAGAAAAAAAATCTGAATCATTATTTACAGTTGCTCCGTTATTTAGAAGGAGTTGTACGAGTTCTATGTTCACACATTTCACGGTAATATACAAAGCTGTTTTCCCAATTAATGTGTCTGTTGTTGGAATTATCTGAGATATTTTCGAAGAGGATATTCCATTGATGACTCTTGAATTGACATCTACTTTATGTTGTATAAATAATTTCACCATTTCAAAATATCCATGCAAACAAGCAACATGTAGCAGAGTACATCCCACTGATTCATGTTTCATATTAACATCCAATCCAAGATTTAAAAGCCCTTCAATTATCTTTGTATGTCCATATAAAACAGTTAAATAGACGAATTTTTTATCATTCATCCAATCAGGATTGACAATGAAACCATGCTGTAATAATAAATCGATACAGGCTTTCGATAGGATACTATTTTTTATAACAACATCTTGCAAAATAAATCTGTCACTGATTTTTTCGAATTTAATCAAAGGTAAAAAATATTTAACTATGTCTAAAAATCCTCGTTTAACCGCTACATCAAATGATTTTTTACGATCGATTAATAAATGCTTTTTTCGAGCCCAATCAACAAGATATTTCACCATTGTTAGATTACCTTGTCTTGTAGCAATATTTAACAGTACATTTAAATTCTGAGTCCCAGGATCAACTCCAAGATTCATAAATAACTCAAAGGCATTTATTTTATTCAACTGGACAGCAAGTTGAAGAGGAGTTTTTTGTTGATAATTCTTAGCATAAACATCAGCTTTTTTTTCTAGCAGCATTTTAATTACTTCTGTATCATCAAAATGAATAATAGCTAAATGAAGTGGGCTTTGCAATGATTTGAATTTAAGATTAACATTAATATCTTGTGATAAAATTTGCTTGATAGCTTCTTTATCCTTGTGTTGAATTGCTTCACAAAGCTTATAGAATTGTTCTGATTTTTTTATATTTGACATTATTAATGTATTTTTTTCAACTTGGAAATGTGATGTCCTTGACTTTTTTTTTTTAATTAGGTTATATCAGGGTTCTTAGAAATTTGATTTGTTGATAATCGAATATCGAAAAATCGATCAAGTTTTTTTCGATTAATAGCAATTGCTATGTTGTATAAAAATAGCTCCCTTTTTTTAAATTATATCTAAATAAAATGTTAATAGATATATATGATATTAATATTGTTTTATTAAATATTATCAAAGCCAATTACTAACACGGTGGAAAAATCGAATAACGCGGTTATAAGTCGATTATACCGCTCCACAAAGACAATTCAGGTACCAATACTTTGTACACCGTGAGATTATGTGATTTGCATGCATTTCTACATGTGTATATTTAAGATATAATTTTGATAGTGTGTATGTGTATACACATATGTAAAGGAATGTGTATGAGTTTATAGAGTGACAGAAAGAATTTTCTTGTAATATATATTTATTTAAAATTTCTTAGAAAACTACATATCACTAGGAAAAATGTCATTGAACTGAAAAATTAGTGATTAAAATATTGCTTGAGGCTTAAAATAAGTAATATCGAATAAATAGATAATTCTATCAGTTACATTTCATCACGACCTTTGTAATTTAAATTAAAGCTTCTATAAACTGTTATGACGATTCAACAATTGAGTCATGCTATTTTGTGACGTTTATTAATTTTTTTTTTGTTGTTCTATTTCGTTGATCAAATTTTAATTATCATCATTTCGTAAGTTTCTGTATAGGACATGCATTTAAAAAACTATTAATATTATTTCCAAGCTCGAGACTACATTCGATACCTTATTATTTTATAGGTAAATCATTGTGTCAATAATAATGGATCAAGACGTATTAACAACACTTAAGATTCTAATGATTGGCGAATCTAACGTGGGAAAGTCAAGGTATGTATTAATTAACTATTATTAATTTTTAATTATGTGAATCTTCTTGAAAAAAACTCTAATTATGGCTGATTCTAGCACCCTGTTGAGGTTTACGGAAGATGAGTTCAATGAAAATATGCAAAGCACCGTGGGAATGGATTATAAAACAAAACAAATAACAATTGATGGCAATACAGTTAAACTCGCCATTTGGGTGAGTTTTCTCATTGTGAATTACTTTTTTGCTTCATGGTTTTATAAAACTTTCACAGTAATTAATGAATCTCGTTTAGGATACTGCTGGTCAAGAGAGATTCAGAACATTAACTCCAAGTTATTATAGAGATGGTCAAGGTGCAATTTTAATGTATGATGTTACTGATAAAAACACGTTTATAAAGTTGGAAACGTGGCTAGATGAGTTAAATACGTACTGCAATAAATTAGATATAGTAAAGATGGTAGTTGGAAATAAGATAGATTTGCCCAATCGAGAAGTAACTACAGAAGAAGGATTAAGTTTTGCTAGGAGACATCAAACACTTTATATTGAGAGTAGTGCAAAAACAGCTGATGGTGTTAAATGTTGTTTTGAGGAACTCGTTCAAAAGGTATGTAAAACGTTAATGCTTACCCCCTATTAATAATTTTCCAGTTCTTAATTATTCATAGGATATTTTTTTATAGTTATAAAATCAAAATTGATGTTTTTTTGATAATTCATAGGAAATAATTGATAGTATAATTTCTTTGAAGAATATTTGAAATTTTTAACGAGTTTTTTACTGCTCAAAATAAACTTCTTTATTACTTCAAGGTCTGATAACTCAATTAATAAATAAATACTTTAATCAGATAATTCAAACACCGGGCCTATGGGAGCATAATCATTCCAGCCGAATGCCCAACATTGGTGGAAGTGGACCACGTCAACGGTTAGGCAAACGAGGAATGTTATTGACTGATGATTATCAACAACAAGACGCTTATTCTAGTTGTTACTGCAGCTTATTCTAACCAATAATATATAAAAAAATTTATATTTCTACACAAATTAAGTGAGTTATTATACAATTCAAACATGATAAAATGGTAATAATGTCATATTTAATATTTATTTGTAAATAAAAAGAGATCTTTCACATGATTATTTTTTTTTACCTGAATATAAATTTTAGTAGAATGGATATATAAATTCAAAATTATTACTCACTAATTTTATTTAATATTAATATAATTATTAATTCATATATTCAACGGTAACAGGATAGAAAAGATTAAATACTTTATTATAAAAATTGTTTCCACTTTACTTATTCTTCAGTTAATATTTTTTTTTTTCATCCTGTTGTGTAGTTTATTACATTATGTGTTCAAGTACATGGTGATTGTGCGTTTATAATATCTTAAGAATACTTTATTAAATCTATATCGCTATGTTTGCTTTTACCACAATTTATAATAATGTCAATAATTAATTATATGATACATGAAGAAAAATGATAAAGTCATTTACGTTGTACATATTCTGGCAGTTAAATGTATTATGAAAAAATTTAAAATCTCCATTCGTTTTCTCAAGTAGTATACCTACGCACATGATGAAATATATTTTTAACTCTAATTTTAATACCTGAACTTATATGTATATAAATATTTAAACTCGTTTAAAGAGTAATGGAAGAATGTTTTGTTTTTTCAACTTACGTACAAGTAAATGCAATAACCGCAGAAACAAAATTATTGTTATTAGATTAATAAAAGAATTTACTATTATAAACGCGGGCGACTCAGGTACCTGCAGTGTAGGACAATGCCGAGAGCGTTTTTAAAATTAAAAAAGTTTAAAAGTTATTTTCTAAAAGTATAAATTAATTTTCAATCTCATAAGTAAGGCTGACATGTATTTTTCAATATTTATTATAACTATTAAAAGTGAATTATTACTCTCGTCATGGTATTATTAGGCTGAATTACTTCTAGTTAAAATAGTATTAAAACTGCAACGTATCAAAATATATTTTATGTCATTTGTATATATCAGCGTTTATCCACCTGGATATTCTGCTGAATAAATAAAAAAATTCATGTATACTTATATGTACTTGGATAAATACTCAATTAAATTTAGCACATAAAATGTTCAACTCGAAAACTGTAATATTAATACACCGTTAAGTAGACTTATTTATTACTCTCGGCCATTTAGAATATTTAAAAAAAAAACGTATTACGGGTCACTTAGCGTCTCGCGTACCTTGTGATCACTGTGATTGAATTATCAATTCCATACTACAAAATTTTTTATATTGACATATTAAGCAGGATATCATTCAGTACCAAGAACCAATCTCAAATAATCGATCACAAGGTTTACAAATTTCAATTAAAATCCCTTTAAACAGAATATACTTCCAAATTTGCTATTTTAGCTTTTTCTTCTTCAGAATCATCTCGACAAATCATTAATGTGTGGGAAAGCCCACAAGTTACGGCAGTGATATAAAGACCTTCGAGTGCTTTTACTTCCATTGGTGTAGTTGAAGATTTACGCATCTCTCCAAACCCCTAGAAATGTCATGACTAATTAGTGTACTCAGCATTTTATTAAAAATTTTTATCATAAAATGTTAAAACCTCTTTATTAAATCAGCAAAGCCAAATATTTTTTAAGAAAGAACTTACTAGTTCACCAAAAGTAGGACTGGCTCCCCAGGCAATTACTGATTCATCAGCAGCTACAACAACACTAGTTTGAGAACAACCAACACATCTAATTTCCCATCCAGAGAGGTCAGGAATTGGTTTTGGATACATATTAGCTTCTCCAGTGCGTTTGTTTTGACCAAACATAAGTGCTGTTCCATGTACATTAATAGCAATACTATAGGTACTTCCACAGTGGACGGATCTTACACCACGATTTGGTGGTTCCAAATATTTAATAAGACGAGGTACCAGCTCATCTCTTTGTTCATTATGACCTAAACGACCAACGCCTCCGAATCCCCAAGAAAATGCACGGCTCTTACTGTCAATAGCAACAGTGTGATAATGGCCGCAGCTAAAGTCTGTAATCTCAACTCGGTCTAACGGAGTAACATGACCATCTTTGCCTCTTTCAACATAAAGGACAATTCTCTTTGGCACTTTTTCAAAATGAAATGCCAGTTTATTACTATTTATAAAATACTTTCCGTCAGTATTATGACCCAATGCACCATATTCAGGACTACCAAATGAATGTAGTCCACCTTTGATATCAAGAATCATTGAAAATTCTGCACCACAACCAACTTTTACAATTGGTGCACCAGAATATTTAACTTTGGTTGCAGTCACTATGCAAGGATCAGATTTTCCAACCCCACACTGGCCTAGTTTATTATCACCAGCAGCAAAAACTATACCACGACTAGTCAAAAACAATGTATGATTTCGACCACAAGCAGCAGCAATAATTGTATGACCTTTCAGGGCTTCTATCTCAGTTGGTTCATCTCGTCTTTTTGTATCCCCAACTCCTAGCTGACCTGCTTATTCATATTAATATATCAAGAATACAATTTATATTTTATCATCAAGACAAATCCAATAATGTTACCTTTCTCATTTTTACCAAAGGCAAGACATCTGTTATCTTCAGTGACAATAATACTATGAGAAGCAGCAGGTCCTGAGGCAATAAGTCTGATTCTAGCGCCATTCAAGTTCTTAAAAGTATGTGGAGTCCAAAGATTCCTCCCCACACTAGACTTGGCACCTTTTGGAGGTGCTTTGCGTCCCGCCATGCCCCAATTCGTTAAACCACACATAAGGAGGGTGCCAGGTTTACCCCATCCACCCTACAAAAACAGATAATATATTTAAAAAACACTTGCATACTTAATACCGCCAAATTTTCAAGTAATGATGTTGATGTTTACCTCTGGAGCTCGTAACTCAGGAACATTGGACACATCAGCTAGGTCCTCTTCAGTAGCGTCATCGTTAGAGCCGGCGTCGGCATCATCATAATCAGACTCACTTGAAATATCCTCCTCATCATATTCAACCTTCTTACTTTTGCTTCGTCCTTTCTTTTGGGAAGTATTTTTTCTCTTTGTTGACATACTGCTTAACTTACTTTCGTAAAAAACACTAATCGATTTAACTCGTAAAAACTACCAATTAAATAATAAAATAATTTTAGTTAAATTAACACGATGGTGACTGGCGTTAATCGTTTGGCTTTGGAACGGTACCACTACTAACAAAACACACCGTTTTTTTTCCCCAGTTGGATACTTTACGTGTAGTAGTGGTATATGCCGTTGGGACGCTGATGCTACTTGTTTGGCCAAACGGCTTGAAAGTTGAAACGACTGCCGCTTTCCCCTCCCATCTTCAGCGTCCACGCTTCAGCAGTGACATTTATTACACTACGTGATGGAAATATCGGTATCTGTTTTCATATTGCTTGCGCGCTTACTCCAAAGCCTCCAAAGGTAAAGTACAAGCCGAATCTTTAAATCACACTCGCAACTTTTCCACTTACATATTTCTATAAAAATTTACCCAAACACATGGCGCTTTTTTCAAATTTTTTATAAACCAATATTTTTTTTAAATTGATAATGATCAGTATTATATTTTTTCTTTGACAAATGCACTTGAAAAATGATTTAATTTATCAGATACAAGATAATTAAATCATTTTTGTGCAAAAATAAATAATAAATAATAAATACTGTGGTCAATACTGGACACTATATTGAGTTTAGTCAGGTATAAACGGAACATTATATTTTATTTGTTTATAATACAATAGTTATAAAAACAGAATATTAATTAAAAATTGATGATAAATAAATTCACTTGTTGCACATTGATGTCAGGAGTTTTGGCGCCGCTCCGACGGGGATCTGTGTGATATGAAATCTATATCAAGATCTCGATCTACCCACAAAAGATTGTGCAATGTTTAATTGTAACAATGTATTGTTTTTTTATTATTCTTATTTACTCATGATTCCTATGACAATTCTTGTGTATATTTGCAAGCTGGCGACTGTAGAGATACAACAAAATTTTTATCACTAATTACCAGTCTTTACCAACTTTTTGATCAAATTTTTTATCATACATAAATTATTTATTAAAGAAGTAACAAGCACGTGTTATTGTTTATAAATGATAATGATCAAAGTGATCGTTTATACGATAAATATCAGAAAGTTTGATAAATATTTTTGCGGAAACGATCTTTGTTATTGACAAACAATAGAATATAAGTCTGTAAAGATAATAATAGTGATATGAATTTTTTATCGTGTTAAATTTTCCATTAATCTAGGAACATGATGACATCATGATATTTTTCTCCAAGTTTCTTCTTACACTATAGTCAGCATATCTTCATTTTAATATGAAAAGATTTATTGATATTATTATCAATTAGTCTCATTACTTGATACCTTTCATTTATGCAGCATCCTGTAGATACAAAATTTTTCTAATTTAATAAATAACAAATTAGTCTTAATATAGAATTTGGTAATAAAAATAACTTACATCAAAATTATTTTTACATCTTTAGAAAAAAAAAATATAAATTATAGCTCATTTGAGTGTTTGTTGAAATGTGAATAGCCATAAAAATGATTAAAAAAGTAATTTTTATGATTATTCATTTCTCTAAATGAGTTATTAAAATATTAAAAAATACTTACATATTTTGAGTATGATAAAAATACATTCCAAATGACGTTCATAATATTTACGTAAATTACACGATATTGTATTGGTACGAACATAAAGTTTAACAATTGTGTTGGAGGCCAAAAACAACAATCAATCTGACAAGTTAAAAGTTCAGGTTATAAAATCCAATTTAAAATAAATAATAAAAAAAAAATGAGGATCTTACTTTGTATGTTTCAATGACTTTTTCAACAATATCCTTATAAACTTCCCTTGGGTTTCGTTGTTCAAGCAGTTCATGTCCAAAGAAGAACATAACAAGATTTGTAGGACTGCCCACAAATTGATCAATAATAGTTTTTTTTGCAAGAGAAACTACTGTTTTTCCTGGTAGGAACCGATCGAGAAGAACGTAAAAATAATGATTAAAAGGACCTTGCATCAAACCAATTGTAGCCATATTTTTAGTACGAGTAATATCATGATTTTGTAGATTAGTAAGGACAATCGGTTGATTCGGTCCTTGTATAAAATTATTAGAGCATTGTGTTAGTGTGAAAGATAATCCATCTTGCACCATGTTCTCCAACTCATTAGCTGAATCAATATATTTCTGTTTCCATTGTTCTCTTCTTTGTTGCAAAAAGTCTCCAATACCCATCATCAGCCCGCCACTCACAGTATTTGTGATCATAAGGTACTTCCCTATTTAATTAAAATTAATAAATATAATTTATCCTTAAAATTCAGTAATTTAAAATTAATTAAATAATTTTACCAAAGAATAGTTTTCTGAAGAAGCTCATTTATGGTTGGAATTTCCAATGACTCCAATAATAATTTAAATATCCAACTGACGAATTTTCAATTCAACAGTTGACGTGTTTTATCCTCAAAACAAATAAAGTCCTGATTATTTAATAGTATCCTCGTGACTATTCTTGATCCTTTGACGTTTATAAAGACGGAAAATGGGTCTACTTGGTTGGCGCCGTGGCATAACTTTCCACGACTTCCAAAAACTTGTTAAAAAATTAACAAGAGTCTAAGTAGACTCTTTAATAGTTGTTAATATTATACAATAATTATTCAAGAATCAAACTAAATTGTTAATGCTTGTCTTCATCCTTCGACAAAGACTCCTAGGAACAGACTGACATTTCGTAATACCAGTGGTCTCGCTAAATACCCACAGCGTCAATGTTCTCGAAGTTTTTCGTAGACATGTTTGTCATATTTGTGGTGCGATTATGTGAAAATGATCTGACGCCGAGTTCTTTCACCTATTATTATCATATAAATACCGGCTGATTGCAACGTGCTAACTTAAATAAATAATACACTAGTACTTAAATATTAAAGCAAATATTTGTGTATTAGTAAACACACTTTCATTGTAATAATACTTAACATGATACACTTGAATAGAACCTATGAATTTTTCAGAAAAAAACATGAAGTTTATGCGAGGCCAAATGCTGGAGAAAATTTTATGCAGATATTTAACTTATTGAATTAACTCGATGATCTTGGTTTGAAATAGTTTTTTTTTTACTTTTAAATCGTTCATTATCTTAACATAATCTGATATTGATTGTTTATATTGAAACTAATTTTTATATACATTAAAATAAATTAGCCAAATATAAAATTATTTTTTTCTATTCATGGCACACACATTAGTGATATTAATCAATCAAATTAATTATTAGTAATTATGTAAAGTGCTCATTTTTTGATGAATTAATTTATTTTACATATTCGTCATTTTAAATGTGCCGCGCGCGTAAGAATATTCACACACATGCGCATTAGTGCTGTTTATGATATGGAGGAAAAGAAACCATATACTTTCCAAAAAGATCACTTTCTTGTTGGGAACACTATACTTCTAACTTCATCAAAGATATTTTGCAGAGTTACTTCAAATATTTATAAATTTTATTAACTAATAGACAAGGATAGTGAAATAAAAACATGATTGTTAACTTTTTGTAAATTTTGAAATTTATTCAATTTATTTGGTGGCTACGGTCTTCGGACGTGGCCCTTCTCTGAAGCCATTTCTACACAGAAAGAAATATGAATAAGAAAGTTATAAAATTTGGAGATATAGAGAAAAAAAATAATGCAAACTTACTTAAACTTCCTTCTCACGATTTTTAAATGTCGCATTCGACCAGTTCCGGTTGTCTTCCTCCTTTTGGCTTTGACAGACCAGTTGTCTAACAAAAAGAATTCATAGATGATTAATCGAAATGAATTTATTGAATTAAGAAATTTAAATAAAGAATATAAATAAAATACTTACAGCTTCGCATTTTTTTAGCAGGGTAGCCACATTGGGCACATGTGCTCTTTTGGATGTGGTATGACGATCTTCCGCACCTTCTACAGAGAGTATGGGTTTTATTTCGGCGTTTACCGAAGCTCGATGTCCCTTTTGTCTAGAAAAAAACAAATGAAATTATATGATTAATTATGATAATCAGGCAATAACAATGATAAATATTAAAAAAGTTTTTATGATAAAAACATCTGCAGTAGAAACACAAAATTCAACATAAAACTGAATGTATCATGAACCTTAACCTAGAAATATTGAGTATTCTGATACTTATAATTCAAAAATAGTTTTTTTAACAAAGATATAGATTTTATACAAATCTGTGATTACTGCAGAATATTTTTTGATCAATGTTTAACAATAAATTATTAGGATCACTTCATATTTATTAGATTTTTCACAGGAAAAAATTCACTCACCATCTTTCAAGATGTTCGAACTTGGAAAGGATACAGCAGAGGGAATATTTTGACAAATTATCTACAGAATATTGTGATGATAAATTACCGACTAATGTTTGTATCATCTGACTTATCGACAAACTTTTTTTGTAATTTCAAAATGGCAACGCGCGTTTGTAAATATAACCTCAACAGTAGACAAGCAAATTTAGGAATTTTTTTAAAGTTCGTGAATGTTTAAATTTAATAATAATAATCATGAATTCGCGAAAAGTGACAGCAGTTGTATCGAAAGATCATGACGGTAAAGAAATTGAAGGAAGAATACCTATAAAAGTTGCAGAACGTCCAACATTTATATTAAAAACCAGAGAAGGTGAAAATAGAGCAGTTTCTCCAAGTCAGCGAAATGGATCAAAGTAAATTAACATTCCATTGACAATTTAATTTACTGATACTTATTTTATATTTTATAAAAAACATCATATCATGAAATTCTGATGAATATTTATTTCTTTATTTTATTTATAGGAAAGAATCAGAAACTCCAACTGCTACATCTTCAAAACCTTCTGAATGTAAATATAAATCAAAATGACAAATTTTATATTTTATCAAGCTTCAAAATTAATTAAATTCTTTAATTTCCAGCTCGAATGCTTATGTCTATGCCCCAAGAAATGTCGAATTGTATCAAATTTATGGATGAAAATTTCCAGCTTTGTGAAAATGTCTTAGACTATTTAGTTGATCAACAAGACTTTCTAGTAATTGGAGTATTAGGAACTCAAGGAGTTGGGAAATCAACAATCTTATCACTTTTAACTTTTAATCATTTGTAAGATACTGAAAAATACTTAATTAATAACTATACTTTAGCTATTGAAAACATTAATTACAAAAAAAATGTATTTTAGGCCAGATATATTTGGAGTTGAAAATTTAACACACTATAAAACTGGATCAAATTGTACAACTGGGATAGATTTTTATGTAACAAAAAATCGAGTCATCTATTTAGATACTCAGCCGATTCTTTCTAGCGCTGTTATGACTACAGCAACATCTACACTAGAACACTATGCCAGTACCGATTATAATCTAGAACTACAATCACTCCAATTCACAGCCTTTCTATATTCGATATGTCATATTATTATATTCGTTCAAGATTGGTTTGTCGATCCAAATCTAGTAAGGTGATTAACATCTGAATTTATTGTTAGATTATTCATCAACTACATTTGTGTTATACAAAATTAAAATATTAACTTACAGATTTTTACAAACTGCTGAAATGTTAAAACCATCATCAACATCAAATTTAGATCAAGATTACGCTGAATATTATCCTCACATCCTCTTTCTTCATAATAAAGCAGAAATTGACGATTTTAGGCCCGAGACTCAGAAAATAATGACGGTATTATTTATGAAATCATATTTTATTTTATATTTTTTGTGTGTTTATACATAATGTTATAAAAATGTTTTTTAGGATTTTTATACTAAAGTGTTTGCCACTTCTAAACTACAAATTCACAGTGGATTAGACATGAGCTCATATCCTACCGAAGGGCAATTAAATTTATTTCTTATTCCTAAAATCTGTCCAGAAAGTAACTAATCTGTTTTTTAATTACTACTTTGTATTTATATGTCCATAAATTTTATTAATAGAATATTTCTGTACATATAGGTGAACCAATTATGCATGATAATGAAAAAGACTTGATAGAAAAATTACGAAATAAAATTCACGGAGTGTCACGAAATTCATTAACGCCTTCAACGTTGACAGAAAAAAACTGGTAATATTATTTATCAATGACTTAAATATGAGGTGACTTTTTAATTTTAATTATTTATTTTATAATTACATGTTTTAGGTATCATTACGCTTCAAAAGTTGTAGAGGCTATAAAGAAAAGTCATCTTTCTTTAGAATACGGAAGATTACTTCCATAAAGTATTATCTAAGATTATTGCCTATTAGGTATAACATAAATTACAGGCACACGTGGGCTTGAACTACTTGTAAATTGGTCCTAATGATACTCATCTTACATTCTAAACAATTTATCAGTTTTACCTGCAATATAGCCGTTCATTACAATATTTTGAGTCATGTTTGAAATTGAAGGTTCAACGTAGTAAGTTATGAATTTATATGACTGTTTTTTATTCTCTTGAATAATTATTTCTTAAGAATAATCTTCTTGTTCACTATCTGGTTGTTGCATTGAAGCCATTTGAGCAACCCCAGCTTGCAGTTGTTGCCACTGTTGTTGTTCAGCAACTGCTTGTTCTTCTCGGGCTTTTGCAAAAAGTTCTTGCTGTTGACGCAGTAATTCTTCTTCTGGAATTCCCAGATTTTCTAACCTAGTACTTTGACGTCTTCTTTTAGCAGCAACAGCTTTGCAATCTCTTAAAACAGCTTCAGCTTCAGCACTATAATCACCGAATCCTAATTTTTCAAGAGCTAACAGCACATGCTCAGCATTAATAGTCTTTTTCTGTTGTTGATTACAGATTTCATTGGCTTCTGATGATAACAAGTGAATAAATTCGGTACAGCAATTGAGAATTAACTCTCGAGATTCATTAGCGACTCGGACTTGTGGCAATATTTCTTTTATCATCTTGTTTATTGAAGCTCGTGGTAAAGTTAGCTCATCATCTTCTGCTGGAGACATTGCTGCAGAGGCCATTTTCCTACATTTATTTTTTATATTTTTATATTCTATTAGATTAAGAATAACATATGGAGAATAATATAATTATAAATATTACTTACGTTGATTGTATAGTAAATATATCAAAATATTTTTTGGAATTTTCTTGTAATTGACAGATAATGTGCTAGAGGTTAAGTTAATAGAACTGTTTATTATAATTTAATTATTTGCATAGACTGTCATTTTTATGAATAATACAAAAAATACTTCTATTAAAACTAATATTAATACTTAATTGTATAATTGACGTTGAATATTATTTGAAAAAATGACTTTTTACGTTTATTTTTATTTTTACGATGCATTCAATTCACAAAAAAGCTCGAGCATCTAGCGGCAAATTTGTTAAGCTCTTAATTGGAGTTGTTTTCTTTATTTGTGTCATTTGTAAGTAATGTATTCATCGATCATAACAAATAATATAAATTAATTGTAGTAATTTGTTTACAGTCTTCAAAGATTGTTTGATCCATTGAACATAAGTTTCTATCTAATATGAAGTTAGTGAATATTTATACTAGAATGTTAATATTATTATTGAAAAAAATTTACTATTAATTTACTCCAAACAATATTTTATTGTTACTTTAGATAAATATACATCAATAAATTTACATTAATTATTTATAGACAATTATATATTAAACAAAAATAAATCAGTACAAACTATAACACTAGAAATGTTCTAATATTTTGTTTCAATTATCAACAATCAATTGTTGCGATTACTCATGAAAGAAATTGAATGAATTATTTCTATTATTTTTCATTATAAACATTTAACAATTGTTTATCTAAAATATTTTATTGATCCAAAGTATGAGTAAGTCTTTTTTATTTTCTTTATTTCATGATTATCATTTATTATAAATTATTCGTATTCAAGTATGTACGCAAATTGAACCATTGTTATTTTATTAGGTGAACTTTCATTCAGTAAAATGGATATCACATTCGATGATAGATTGAGTGCCTTGCAACAAATAAGTCAAAGAAAATTGGTAGATATTTTAGATTCTATATCTGGCAAAAAAGATCTCATTATAGAACAAAAATTAATGAAAACCTTAGATTCATTTGTCGGAGTTACAGTTCTTAAGTGAGTACATTATTGAACTACTGAATGAACAATTTTGCTAAAATAACCAATAATGAAATTCGGTTTTATTCTCATCTATACAATTTATTTATGCAGGAGACACGGAGTTGATAAGATATTCAAGTTAGAACCAGGATTAAAACCTAATAATACTCATCGAATTTTCTTAACACCCTACGATCTAATATCTTGTAAAAGGGTACTCGATCAAATTCAGTCAGAGTTATCTCAAACTCAAGGCCTAGTATTTCATATGTTAGTAGCACCATATGTACCCACAGTTTTACAATCACTTATTGAAGAAGAAGGTATCGTTAATAATTACCTTTTTTGCTTTCTTCAAAACTCAATTATTCTGTGAAAAAAATCATTTTTATTGATAATATACTTTATCCAGGTCTAGCTGATTTAATAACAATCCATCAAATGTCATGGGAATTTATTCGAATTGATGGAAATGTGCTATCACTAGAAACTCCAATGTTTACTGATCTTTTTTATCACAAAGATACAAGTCTATTACCAGCCCTAGCTCGCAAATTATGGTCATTACAACTAGTCCTAGGTTGGCCTAAATTAACATTTTCATTTGGAAAACACAGTGAACAAGTCTTAAAAATGGTTGATACAATGAAAGAAGTGAAATCTATAACTCCTGAAGCTGAAGTAGGAGGTCTTATTATTATGGATAGAACTTATGATCTTGTACCAACGTTATTAACTCCAGTGTCTTATCTTGGATTATTAAGTGAGGTTGCGCCTATGAACGTAGGTGTAGCAACAGTAGAAAAAAATCAAATTAAATTGGATCCAAAGAAAGATCAAGTTTATGAAGATATTCGTGATATCCACTTCAGTGATGTTTTTCCTAAACTTCGTGCTATGGCTAAGTCATTAAAATGTATGATAAATTTTTTAAATTCTCATTTTTCCGTAGCATAACTGAATAATATTACTATCAGCTGAACAGGAAGCAACACAAACGATGAAGCTGGCAGAAATGGGGCATTATGTGGCTACGAGACTGCCAAAAACAGCAGAAGTCAAACGACAATTAGCTGCTCATATTACTGCATGTGAAGCAATTATTGGATCTTTGGGTTCGGAGTTCGAAACATTGCAAGCAATTGAACAATCAATACTTGATTGCTCTAGACGAAAAGAATGTCTAGATTATATCGAGAGATATATTGGTTGGTGAACATAACTGTTTATTTCAACACGTTTGAAAATGGAAATAACTATTTGTCGTTTCTTTTGTTTTAATAAATAAACTTTACTTTTTTAGATGACAATCCAATGCGCAGTCTTCGACTTTTATGCTTGCTTTCTATCACTAGTGATGGCCTTACTCCTGCCGAAATAAATTTAATCCAAAAATCTCACCTCCATGCTCACGGTTACGAGCATATACCTCTGTTTTATAAATTAGAAACTTCAGGATTTTTGCGACAAAAGAAAGAAAATCTTCTTAATAAATTGCCAACATGGAGTGGAGAGTGGTCTAGCAATGTTCAACGAATGAAATTGTTACCAAATCAGTCTAAAAAATCTGATAAAACTACTATTTGTCCAAGTTATGTATATAGTGGAGCTTATATTCCTGCCATTGTAAGTAGTAATCAATTTTTTTTAAATAATAAAAACCTAATATTTGAATTTAATAGATAAAAATTTAATTAAAAATAAATTGTAATTTTTAGGCTCAATTTCTGAAAGTTGCATTAGCTCAAGTAACAGATGCTAAGAGTTATGATGAATTGATTAACTTACCAGAGTGTAAAGTGAATCATCCACGAGTTTTATTACAACCCAAGACAGTAATTGTTTGTATTATTGGAGGAATTACGTACGGAGAAATATCAGCTTGTCGGCTTGTTGAAAAATCAACGGGAATACGGCTAGTTCTTGTTTCTGATTGTTTAATTACTGGTGATAAACTTATTAACAACATACAAAATGCTTAATTTATATTATTAAATACTGATAATTTATATTTCTATAAAAAATTGTTTTTTTTTAAGAACCAGCCAATTACAAATTCATTACATTAAAAAAAAAAGTATTAAATTTTAATCAATATTGATTACTTCATGATCATGATATTTTTTATTTATTATTAACATAATATATTTTAGAATTGAAAATTACTTTTTTATAACCAAGTAATTTATTTACCAGAGTGTAAAATTATACAGGATTAACTTCACACGCAAGTAAATATCTACTTAGCGTTTGGCAATTTAATAATTACGAGTTTCTTCCCGATTACGATCACGCTCTCTCCTGGATCGACCCCAATCTGCACCCTGGCGGTTGTAATTTTGTCGATCCCGGAAGTTACCTTGGTTTCCTCCTCTCGAAAAGCCTAAAATTTACAATAAATGTTTATTATTTATTCCACACAATTACATTGCATTTTTAAAAAATTTTTATAATTTACATACCTTGCTTCATTTCGAAAATTCTCTCATTAGAGTCTACAAAGTTATTAACTTTGTCGGTAAGTTGTAATGCCAATGATTGAAGACGACTTGGTTCACTGCGATGCATTACGACTGTCTCAGATGGATCATCCAGTGATGCCTAAAATGAAAAGAATTAAGTAAAGTTAGACTGTAATAATAATATTTTATTCATAAAATGTGATTGATCAATAAAACTTACCATCAATTCTTCATTGATAATCATTTTACTGATGATGGAATGTACGACAGCTCGTTTCAATTGGAACATATCAGCCAGCGTTGGCATAGAAATTGAATCATAAACATGAGAATAAGTAAACAAATAAGTTCTCAGTGATTCTTCTTTAATTAATCTGGTTAGCATAGCACGAACTTTGTCAGCCTGATAAAAGAGATCCCAAACCTGGAAATATTGATTACGGTTAATTAAATAAATATTTCATAGATTATAATAATAAAAAATGAAAAACGTTTTGAATTAATAGTTTAAATAAAATATATACCTTGGCATTCATCTTTTCATTAATAATAAAGTTATTGCAAGCTGACCAGTTTCCATTACGCATTGCTTTAGCAGCAGCTACAACATGTTCTCTCATGGACTCTGGTGGACCAACAAGAGATTGTCTCTCACTAGATCGCAATTGTTGGTAGAAAGTTTTGGAAATCATTCTTCGTCTTGCATCAAATTCATGTGCTGGATAAAAATTGATAAAAAGTTGTAACAATTATTATATGAAAAATGTTTTTTTTTTTTTTGTAATACAACATACGTTTAACAGCTCATGTTGTAAATAAAATTAATATTATCTCACCTGCCATATAAGGTATTTCAATCAACATAGCAGAGACCAAGTAAACACATTCGAGCAGCTCTAAATTGATGTGCATATGGAATGGCATTTGTCTTTGCTTTTCAACCTTTTCTTGTTCTTTGCTACGCTCGTGTTGTCTCTGTGGTAAAAGTCCTTGTGCTAAAAGTTCTTTAACTTTTCCAGTCATCATTAAATCAACAAGACAATTATGAGCATCTTTAATGTTAGCATGTCTGAATGCACATAAACCTAGATGAGCAATTGTGCGATTGTAAAGGATCTGGGTAGCTGGATCAGAATGTTGAATTGTTTCTTGGAGATGAGACATTAACATCAAATCACGTGCTTGGAACCAGTTATCATGAAGAGCATGATGATAAATGTGCGAAAGAATAGCTCGAGTACGCAAACGATCAGTTCCATCATTAGCGTAAACATATTTACAAAGTTTTTCCATTACTTGAACAGATGTTACTACATCAGCAGGAACTTCGCCGTCTTTTTGTTTGAGAACATTTGGATCAAATTTGTAATAAAGATGTTCAATCTTACGTAGATAAACACGGCATAGTTCAGAAACACCTCCATGACGTTCTAAATAGGCTTGAACTTTGTCAATAATATTTGCAACTTGTTTTTCATCTTTTAATCTTTCAACATATTCATTACTGTGAGGATCACACTCTTTCAAAAGTTTAGTAAATTCTTCATCTAAACGCTCAACAAGTGTAAGAACACATCCATGAACTTTAAATGGAGGATTTTCAAATTCTTCGGCATCTTCACTAATGTGTTCGGCAATTTGCATGTCTGGGTTCGCAAGAAGCATCTCAAGCATTTCTGTTATGCGATCAAGTAATTTGGACCAATATTCCGGCTTCATTGCATCAGATACTTTAGGGTTGTAATCAAAAATAGATGATACAATGGAGAAAATAATTTTAACAACTACAGCAGGTCCAAGATTATGAACTTCAGCAATAGATCGTAATTCATGTAAAAGTTCAATTTGTTCTCGTCTATCTGTACGTTTTTTTCCACGAGCTGCTATTACTTCCGACAATTTTTTTAATACTGCTGGAACAGTAATATCAGCATCTTTAGCAAACATTTTTGGTTTCTCGGAAGGAACAACAACTCCTCCCTTAACAGTTTCCCATTCGCCTTCACCATCATCTTCATCACGCTTTTTCTTACGTTCTTTATCTTTCCTTTCTTTACGTTGTTCTTTTTTCTTTGCTTTTTCCTCTTCTTCATCTTTATCGGTGGCTTTTTTGATGAAACGTTCTCGGATATTTTGATACTGACCCTCATCTTCACTGCTTTCACTTTCACTTTCCGAGTCACTACCCCAATCAGAATCACTCTCGCTTTGATCATCTCCTGTTGTTGGTGTTTTTTTGAACTTAGAAGCATCAGCTACACTAACTTCGGATCCAGACTTTTTAAACGAGCTTACGCGGTCTTCATCATCTTCAGATTCCTCTTCTTCCTCTTGTTTTTCTTCTTCTTCGTCATCATCTTGATCTGGATTTTCTCTGAACTTCACTATTTCTTCCTCAAAGTCTTTATTATATTTACGGAGTTTTTGACGTAAAGATGTTAGAGATTTTGAATTATTCTTTGACATATTTTTTCTGCTCTCACGATCTTCCCATACTTCATTAATGAAGTCTTCCATTTCTACTAAACATCTTAAGTAAAAACGTGGTGTTTGACCACCTTCTTCTTTCATAACAACTGTTTGAGCTTTCTCATAAGCTTTTTTAAGGTCTTCAAAAGCTATAAAATATGAAAATTTCATTAGAAAGTAATTCAAAGAAATAATATTATTTTGAAAATAATAATTTGTACTTACTTGAAAGCATGCTACTCATGTCTTTGATTTTTTTATAATTTCGAATGAGCTTAATAAGATTAGTAAGCTCCTCATATCGTTTTTCTTTCGTTGACCGTACCACACGTTTTGTTTCTTCTTCTTCATCACTAAACTGCAAATAAATATAACATTAATAATAATGAAAAAAATTCTAAACATCATTTTTGTAAAGCATTTTTCATACTTATTGCTCCAAAATGGTTTTTTATAATTTTATTCTGATAAAAAAACTAAAGTGATAGTTTATTGATTATTTTGTGAATAATAGCAAATATTTTTTCAGCTTATTGAGTTTATAAAGTAAAATCAGTATATTTGTTACTCACAGTAAAAGCAGTCGCTGGTGCGCGTTGAACCTGCTCCTCTTCGGATGAGCTATCGGATTCGGAATCCGTCCCGGTAGTAAAAAACTTACTCATATTGAATGATTATCTGTAAACAAATTGAAAATAAAGTATTTGTTCGAATCACTGGGCAATTTCGTGTATTAAAATATCATTTGACACCATACAGACAGTATGTGACAACTTAACCAATAAACCTTATAAATGAGCAATCAATATTTTACTTATTTTTTACAAGTTCTTTAAATTGTTGAAAAAAATGACTTAGTGAGTATTTATTACATTTAAACTTACTCAATAAATGTTTCCAAAGTAATTTATTATTACACAATAATTAAAATCCACGCGTTCTTTCCTGTCTTCAGGAAATCGTGAAAATATGGCAACCGGCAGCACCGGTTTGTGGTGAAAAAGCAAAACTTTGACTCTACTGTGCAATTCTAAATAAAATGGCGGCCAATACAACAGTTTTTTGTTGATACCAACAGAAAACATTGTTCGAATTTGAAAATATTTAGCGTCCTAAATAAATTATAGCGTCTTAAATATAATTGTTGAATTAGAAAAAGAATTTTCGCATATTTATTTTTTGGAAACATTCATCTTATTAAAAAAATGGATATTAATGATATTCCAAAAGAATGTTTAGAGAATCCACAATTTTCCATGGTATTAAAAGCAACATTGGAGACAGAAATAAAAAAAAAAGAGCAAAAGTTAAGAGGTAATTTAAATAATTGTTTAATTTTTTTAAATATAAGTACATAAATTTTACAAGTGTTAAATTATAGAAGAATAATTTGCTAAATTTTATTATTATCATTTATTAGATATTAAAGATCAAATTGAAACTGTGAAAAAATCAGTGGAATTAAAATATAATGAAGGGAAAATGATGTCAAAATTTTTAGAGATAGAGAAAGAAAAATTAAAAATATTTGAACCAATGTTGAAAGTGTAAGTTTTTAATAATTAATGTTTATCAAGGTCTCTTAATAATAACCTGAAACCACTTTATTCCAATAGGCTATCTGTGATTTGTGAAGACAAAAAATTCGAATTATTGTTCTTAGAACAAGAACTTGATAGTGATTCATTGAGGATGAAAGATGAGCAACAAAAGTATAAAGGAATGATTGAAAAATATAAAAACATATGGGAAAGCTATCGGGTATATTCATTAAATGCATCATTACTCCAATAACTGATATAAAAACTTTATTCATTCAATATTTCTTAGAAAAAATATGAGAAATTAGATGGTGCTGTCCGAAGGAGAGAAATTAAAATAAAAGTAGAGAAGGAGAAGGTTAAATTAATGAATTTAGAGTTTAAAAGAAATCAATTGATTAAAATGTTAGAGCAAAGAGAAGCTATAAACGACATGAGGTTGAAAGCATTAATTAAAGAAATGTCTCAATTAGTACTAGAAAGATTGAAGCAACAAAATTATCGAGATGTATTGAAAGCAGATATTATCGATTTGAACAAAAAATACGCAGAAATGTGTAACAAAGTATCATTCAGTTTATTATTATCATTGAAACTTCAATTGTAAGTATTAATTTTTTCAAATAATGAATATGTTTGTAGTATAAAAAAATTCAACAAGATATTGAGGAAGAAGCTAAAGCTAAAGCTTTAGCTAGACAACTGATGCCTGCACCAAGAATAAACACTTCTATGTTACGATCAGTATATTCTGCTACTCCTCGATCAAGAGAAAAGAAAGTTTATCAATCAAAGCCTATGGGTTCAGGTAAAATTTATTTGTAAATTTTTAAATATATGAAATCTATCAATGTAATTTGAAATTCCTTCCAGATACTACCTCTGTATGTAGTTCGATTCTTGATCAGCTTTTCAGTGAAAATGAAAAAGTATTTGATAAAATAAATAACGATAAAAAGAAAGAAGATGTTGAATCATTGCAACAATTGGATTATTGTGAGTGTTCTCAAAATTCTGATGTAGATGAACAAACATCACAAAATTCGCAACATGAACTCAATGTAAATACCTTAGAAAATGAATGTCGACAGTTAAGTATCAATGAAGAACCAATGTATGAGGAAAACAATGATAAAATAGAAGATTCGAATAATGCTGAATCTCAACAAATTGTCTGCGAAGCAATTATAGAGGCTCCAAGGCTACCAGTATCTACAGAAGCATATTTAGGTCCAGTTTCCCACTTGAAAAAGAAACCATCAGAAAATATTGACTCAGCACAAGATATTTCAGAAGAACCAGAACGAAAACGATCTAAACTTTCTGAGTCCTCTCGAGAAAATTTATTGTTATCTAATTTAGAAAAAGAAAAAAATAAAACTCAAGATACTATAAAAAAGATTTTACCAAATATAAGAAAAGTTGAAATAATTAATGAGCCTATAAAAATACAAACAAAACCTCCTATGGCTGAAGTACCACCAACACCTAACTTATGTCCTAATCGTAATTATGCACCTAGTTCTACCAGTGAAGATCACCTATCAATCATAGGTGATGGAAATTATGAAATTGATACAAACTGGCAAAACTTTTCTCCTCCCAATCGAGCTGATTCTAATATCTCATTTATGTCTAATGCTTCTATGTTTAAAAATATGATGTATGATTCTCCAGCAATGCCAACACATTCTTCTGATATTAAAATGAATAATCCTATAGTTAAAGAAAGTAATCCAATGTCATCAGCAAATCAAACAATTGATCCCGGTAAAAATATATTTATTATTATTAAATGTTTATTTTAAGTATCAATGAACTGACTTTTTATTATTTTATTATATTTTACAGCTCCTAATTTCTTTAGTTGCTTCAACAGTGGTAAACCAAGTACCCAAAATTATTTCTAGGATATTATCATTGAAAATTGTTTTTTGAAAAAGAGTCTTCAAATAGTTACGAAAATTTCTATATTTTTCAACTATTAATACTATAACAATATCATTAAATAATAAGAATATGTTAACATAATTCGATATAAGTAAATAATTTTTTACATAAATATCTCCATAATTTCAATTTCTGTTACTTTGTTTCATTATAATTTCTAATGTTACCAATTTTGTTTCATTTCCACAATAATTATAAAATTTAACAAAATATTCTAATTTTCAAATGTTCGACATAATTTGTTAATGTTTAACTTAAATATTAAAGTTAAGTGAATGAAAGAAATTTATTTTCCAGCCAAGTATCTTCCATATCCAGCAACACGCGATTGAATAACATTACATCCCACAACAGCATCTCCTCGTGTTCCATCTGAACATGTACAGACTGCTATGTGCCGTCGAGCTTGACATACTGCACTTGGTGCACATTCTTTCCCAGTGCAAGGATTTTGACAGTAATAATCAATACAAGCTTTATTGTCAGCACATTCGCTGTCTGTCTGGCATTCACCTCTCCGACAACTGATCAATGCATTTCCAATATATCCTGGAGGGCATGTGCAAACTGGTCTCTCTTTTCCTGTATTATCATGACCTGGAGTGCAAACAGCATTTTCTCCACAAGGATTTGGTCGGCAAAGATCCTCTGCAGGGATAAAAAAATAATGAAATAGTTTGTCGATTATTAATAGTAATTAATAAATCGATAAGAGATATTTCTCTACGATTCATGATTAATTAATTTATTGAAAAATTAAATTAACATAATTAAAGCATAATTCATACCAGGTTCAAAAGGTCTACAGCTAATGAATGGATTTCCAGTCATATCGCGTGGGCAACTGCATACTGGTGTAGTACCACGTAATTCGCAGTTGGCATTTATTCCACAGGCACCTTCACAAGGATTAGTACATTTTTGATACACACAAGCTGGTTTATTTCCAGGACATTCGGAGTGAGTGGTACACTCTGGGTAGCATCTTAGGTGGGGATTTCCAAGCCAGTTCTAAAAATATTTGTATCAATTAAACGTTTTTTTATTAATTTACAATTCGATTTAAATGGTAATAAATTTATTTTTAGTACATTTGATTTATTTATTGATAAGAATTTTAAAATGAGACACTTACGTTTGGACAGGTACATTTAGCTTGATGATGAACAACATCACAATTGGCACCATCTCCACATTTGCATGGACTTTCACACTTAAAGTTCGATGAACAAGCAAGATGTTGAGGACATTCAGCGTCGCTTTCGCACTCATGTCTACATCCGGTTAGTGGTGAACCTCGATATCCTGGTAAACAAGTACAGACTGGGACTTCTCTGATTACTTCGCAGCGAGTATTTATTCCACAAGGACTTGGCTTACAAGCCGCCTCTGAAATTTAAATGAGAATGGTACGAAGGTACGGTCATGGTCAATACTCATCGAAAACAAAGTCACCAAGTGAATACTAAACATTAAATAAAGCAATTAACTTACGAGGATCAGCTACATGGCAAGATTTAAATGGATCTCCAGTATATCCTGGTGGACAAGAGCAAATAGGTGAATGATTAACTACCTTGCAATTTGAATTTACACCGCAGAATCCTGCACAAGGATCTACACAATGATTGTTGGCACAAGTTTTGTGATTCGGACAATCCTCAGGAACTGTAAAAAAATTTTAGTACCATTACATTTTAATATTTGATATATTTTATTATGTTAGCATTTATTAGACTATGTTTTAAATGATACAATTTTGTTTAATGAATTGCTAATAATGTAATTACTCATCGAATCAAAGAATAATTGCATTCAATAATTAATTAATCCTGCGTCATGATCATTAAAATGAAAATCGAGTATTGAAGAGAACAATTAGAATACCATCAATGTTTGCTTATAAATATCTTTGTACTTACTTATGCATTCAACTCGATGGCACTGAATCAGAGGATCACCCATGTGAAGGTTCAAGCACGAACACACAGGTCGACCATCAGTCATGGTACATTTAGCATTGACTCCACATGTATAAGAGGCACATCCATCTACATAATAGAAAAAAAAAACATTGTAATATGTTTACAATATTTGGAAAAATCCAGAAATTTTTAAATCATTCTTTATGGTGATAAATTGTACATTTTGCTTTGACACAGATTTCTTTATAGAGAATTATTTAATTACCTGATGACACGAGCCTGGAATAATAATGTACTCCTGAAGCATTGGCAAGTGTGATTGTAGCAAAAATTGCTAGCAGAACTGCAGTCCACATTTTCCCACGGTTACTAATGTCTGAAAGAATAGTAGAGAATTATTGTCATCACGTGAGAGCAAAAAGTGAATTTAAAATCTATTTACAAAATTTCCAGAGAAGACTGTTCTTTTCCGTGCGATAGCGACGACTGACAGACTTTTGCTGAGTCTATCCAGAGAAAATAGCTTAGTAAAATATTGTAAAAGTGACGTCAACCCCACCATCCACGATCTTGGATTCTCCAGTTGACCCACGCACGACCCTGGCAGACTCCTTGACTTGGAACTCGGTCCACCCACATATTTTCATCGATTTTTAAAAAATAAATCAATGCAGTTTACCTCCACCCATCAAACATCATCAACTATCAGAGCATTCGTAGGTAGATCGTACCTTAACTGGTAACTCTTCACAATTATTAAGTATCCACGTCTTCAGAGTTAATTCATTAATAACATATCAGTTTCTCATGGCATTGACGATTGTTATGACGAACGGGATAACACATACGTAATGGTCATATCGTTCCTAAATGGTAATCATGGCCTTGAATTGACCTCGAAACATAAAGATATCAATGATTTTTAATACTTTCAGGTCCGCCTCCCAAACAAGTTACGTTGAACTTGAAACACTTTAAATTGATAATCATTGGAATTTCAAATATTCACCAATTTTAATTGTAAATTATATTTTCACAATTCGATCAATTTATTATTTTACTTAGTCAAATTAGTTTGTTATTCTAAAGATCATTTTCAATACCAGAACATCTGATTCACCTACTTGTTCAACGTGATTTTTTTTAATGAATGCTTACGCACGAATTATTATGTAGGTTTTAATTTTAAAAAATAAGTGACTTAGTAACGAAAAAGACTTGAGTATTAAGTATCCAAATATCATTATACATTTGCATAGTTTATAGTAAATAAAGTTTGTTTAATTTATTTGAGAAAATAGTCGGCCAATAATTATTGAAATAAAAGTCAATAAGATGTTGATGTCTGTTTTACATAATGTAGGCGTTGTTTATTTTTCCACATCTATGACAGTATAATTACTGTCTAATATAATAATATTACAATAATAGATATCGCAAGAATTAATAATAATACATCTAAATTAAAAGTTATTAATAAAAGTTCATACATAAAAAAATGCAATATTATGTGCTTGGTATCAATTTCATATTTAATTATATGAGTCCATTAGTAAGTGCTATAAATCGAGCATAAATGAATTATTATTATAAATATACATTCATAGAACTTTTACGTACATATTTATATCCATTAAAAAGATTTTCTTAATCTAAATGGTTGTACACACTTAATTAGAAGTGAAATTTGTCATGACATTTCCTATAATGTGCCTGATTATTATATATTTTCATCGATAATTAATTGATTACTAACGTAATTAAAACGTATTTCATTAATGAAATAACAAGTTGATTGAATACGTAAGCTATAATTTGGAAGGACGTATTTGTTTTTGAATTATTTTCATTTTTTAATTACTGGCGTTAAGTTGGGCGGAAGCTTTAAAAATTCCTCATAAGCTTCAGCCATCATATCATTTTCAGCTTCTTCCAATGGATCAAGTCCCAAGTCTTGTTGTCTGTAAAATAAAATCATTTTTAATTAATTTTAAATCTTGACATAATTGAAATAAATTATAGCACTCCTAGACTTCTCAAATTTTGAATTATTTTACGGATAATTTTAATAATTTAATAATATCTTTTCATTTACTTTTCTTAAGCGAAGAATAAAGAACTATTTCAACATTAACATGAGTAATTTATGTTAACCATAATATTGTTAATAATTATTATACACATACATAGCCACAATCGATGAATCTTCACTATCATACTCAAAATTAGCAAGATTTTGACAAAACTGTCTTTCCTCTGATGACAAAATCATTCCATCCGGACCATAAAGCACTGGTTCATCAAATTGTTGTGGTTGATGCTGTTGTTGTTGTTGTTGATGTTGATGTTGATACTGTTGCTGATGATACTGCGGTTGTACCTGATTCTGGGATATTCTCTGGTTTATTTCTACAGGCGTAGGTCCATGTGAAGATATACCCTGCCCCCAATTACCATTTCGTAATTCTTTCACACTATCAACCATACGACCCGTGTGTACGTCGACACGACCTTGAATTACGAGGGATGAAAGTTCTTTCATAACTCGTTCGATTTCATCTCTATTTGTACTGCTCTCTCGTTCTAAATATTGGCCTGCCAACTAAAGATAAAAATTTGTTCAAAGATTACAATTATAAAAGTAATTGATAATTTTTTGAATACAAATTACATACTTTTAGAGATTGACAAATAAATTTGGCAGAAGTAGGCCCTGGATTCTTGAGAGTTGTTGAAATGACTTCAATTAAACGTTTACCTAAAACTACAGCATGCTCAGAATTCATTTGAGCAACTAATTCAGCTAAACTTAGCATAAGTCCACGGCACTTTTGTTCATCTTCGACGGTATGCTGTTTTATTTTAGGCCATGTTTCCGCAAGATTATTAGCTTCCTGTTCACAACTATAACATCATATTTCATATTAACATACATAACAGATGGATTATTATATTTACAAACAACTCAACTATTACATCCAAGTAAGCATTCAAATTTCATTAACATGAATAAAAATAATTTACAATCAATTAAAGAATAATTCTATGATCATGTTTGAATTACTTTCAAAGTTCACATTCTAGATATGAAGATTGTAAGTGAAAAGTATAATAATATTATTACTAATTATTGTAAATATTAGATTAGTAGTATTATTTAGGAGTAATATAACAAACCATTCATATAACGCTGTTCGAAAATTATAAGAAGAACTCGATGATGAATTTGCGGCATCAATATGAGAGCAAAGTCTAACTCCACTGTATCGGAAGTTACAATCGCTTAAACACTGTAAGTGAAATTTACATTGGATTTATTTGATTTATTTAAGTATTCATATTATTTGTTAAAAATTATTATTACCTTTAAAATTACAGTTGAGATTATAGCACGAGCATGAGCTTCATTTTCAAGATGAGGAGAAATGGTGTCTACGAGAGAACTGACTAGATTTTCAAATTGATCTGGAAAACTTGATAACTTTTGCATAGCGGTGTTGAGTTGACTCAAAGTTTTATCTAAACCATCGTCAACTGAGATATTGTTATATGATGATGGTTGATTAGATGTTTCTTGATATTGGTATGGATATTGTTGATGCTGATAACTTTGATTCCTAGTATCAGCATTTCTGGCAAGGTCTATTCGATTTTGAACAGAAGTTCGACTCAATCGATTGTGCAGCTACGTAATAAATTAATTTAATCAATTATTAAAAATCAATATAATTCATGTATTTATTATTAGATATTTGAATTATATTTGAACATATTGCAAAAATTATAAACACTTAAATGATAGATTTCTTAATGAGTTTCATATTGGAAAATGTCCCCTACGTATGCGGACATTTTTAAAATGATTCTCAAGAATAAAAAAATTTTAACGTAATTTTATAAGCGTACTTACCATTTGTAAATTTACCGCACTTCGAGGAGTAAATTCACGTGCTTCTGCTGATAAATGTGAATTTCTGACGACGTCATTGATAGACACATTATTGAGCATTTCGCCTACTTGATTAACTGATGCTTGAAAAATATTGAAAACATAAGAGAGGTTATAACAGCTGACAACAATAACAATAAAATAAAGATAAATAAATGAAGTACCTGATCTAACATTATGCGGTCGTCGAAGAGGTGGAGGATTATTCGTCCAACTTCCGCGTCCTTTTCCTTGACTTCCACTTCGGTGATCTTCTGCGCCACCACCACCACCAACATGATCCATGGTAATACGTATTTAACAAGAAAAACTTCGTTTTACTAACTATTTTGACAATAATGTCTTGATCACACTCCGAGCAATAACTCTAATTCAAATTAAAATACGATTTTATTCATAAAATTGTACCAGGTTTATATAAATTACTCTGATCACGATGCCAACATACATTCACCACGGAGTATTTCTTCCGTTATGTCGGCTCAGTGACGTCATTAGTGCCAATGGTGCCAACCCCTCTACAAGTAGCTCACATCAATAATTTTTTTCAATTTCTATTTTATTAATTTTATCAAAAGATAATTAAAATCTACCCACTAATAATTAAGTAAACATTTTATTAATATAATTTTAAAAAAAATATTATGGCCAGTAAAAAAAATTGGTTTATTTATAAATAATTAACTTAATAAATAATGTCAAAAGACATCCCTGGATAATGCTGTCCAATTTTTTACTTAATTTATTCATAAAAATAATTCAATAACATTGCTTTTATATGCTTGTATTGTTATTGTTACAATTTTTTTTAATTTAAAAAGAAAAAGAAATGCGAGTAATTTTGGAGCAATCATGGAATACTCCTAAATAAAATTGGGAAATTCCATAATGAAGGGAAATGCATATTGAAACTCCATTGTGTGCTTAGGAAACATGACAAACATACTAATAAGTATCTACAATCGATATCAGACCAAAAACGATTCTTTCTATTTAAGCAAATAAAGTGAGGTTAACTTCAAGGTATTTAAACTTTATTCTCTACTAAAAATAAAGGATTAAAAATAATTGTGTATGGCTGTAAAAGATAAATAGTTCCATTTAGGAACTCTTGATCTTTATTTTAGAAATTTCAGGTCTACTAGATGACATATGGAGCCCCAAACTTCCAAATGTGGTCAATTATTTGACTCCTTATCTCTATAGTCTTCATATTTCAAACCATAAAAAATAATTTTATGGTTTTTTTTAGATATAACATGGACTTGAAAAATGATAGACCGAAAACTACACAAAAAAAATCCTCTCGCAGTTGATAATTACTCGTAGGGTATAGGCCGGGCTCAATTGATAACAACCCAGGCATCAATGGACCCAGGTGTATTCTTTGGATCTGATAAACGAGTGAGTATTCACAGTCGGTACCAGAACGAGAAATGGATGAATCATTTACGAGAGGCCACTGGCCTTTCATTCTACAAGCTGCTAGGATAGTAAGATACTCCAAAAGAGCTGTTGAAGCTTCAGGATCACATCAGGAGTAGTAATAAAATACTCTGATCATGATGTTGTGGATTTTGTGATTTTAAGTGAATTTTTTATCATTTATTTTTATTCATTTTATCGAACAAATTGTATGATAAAATTATTTGAATGTTTTTGTGATCATCAGTAGCACTATGAGTGAGTGGAACTCTAGCAGCAAGTAGTTTCGTCTGCTAGTTCTAGGTTTGTATCTATTTAATTAATAATTAACATACTGCACTCAATATCATTTTATCAATGATGCTATTGCTTGTAAGTCTTATTAAAAAATTAATTAGGGTTTGTTTATTCATTTTTTGACATGACTTAAGAATTTAAATATATTAGCATGTTTTCTTTATTAGATTCTGCTAAAATTCATACTAAACTCTCGTCATATTACTCATAATACGTCAGACATCAGTAATATTCAAATGAGAAACAGTTCATTCTGGAAGCTATTGAATTACATGAATGAATTAAAATTTATGATGATTTAAATATTTTACTAAAACTACTTAAAATTCTGTCATTATAATTAAATTCAAATTTCTCTAATTTTTATAATGTAAGAAATGATTAAACATTCATTACTTTCATCTACTTTCATTGAACTTGTTCAAATTAATTTTTTTCTGTCATATAATTCCTATTTTTAATTCATTCTTAAATAACATAATATATAAAATATATTTTTCAGTATATATATTATCGATTAGATTGATTTTATATTATATAAATTTCTCTGTAAAGAAATAAAAATAATAGTTCTTAGTAGCAGCTTTTTATTATGAATAGAAATTTGTTGTTTCATAAAAAAAAAAAAAATTGAGAAATGATTACAATGTTCCATGCAATACTGGTTTTTCCTCTGATTATCGCAAAGTCATTTATACATCGGACATGTAGTAATAGATAAGTGTCTAGTATAGTAGCTAAAAAGGTTCTTGGAAAATAGAAATCATCAACAAAGATTTTTGTCATGAGTTTTCAAAGCAAATATAAATAAATTAGAAGCAGTTAAGAATACTTTCTTCAACAGTAATTATTCCAGTTTTCCATAATAAAACTGTCAACAGTTTTTTAAATTACATAAGAGCTGTATCATTAAAAAGCAATTAAATTAAAGCTCCATGAAATATGAAAAATGTAAATAATGATCAAAAATGATAAATAAATAGATAGAAGGTATAATAAAATATTTTTATTACAGACGGCGGCTACTTTGATTGTTGGAGATGTTGGAGGTGGGCTTGAGGGTGGTGAGAGGCCACGACTGGATATGGAAAGACCAGGATGGTGGAGAGGGTCATGCTGGAACAGTAGTGGAAATTGGCAAACCTCCTGCTCCACAGGTTAATGGAACAGCAACAACTAATTCTACAGACAAAACGCCTGACAAAACAGTCATTGTCCAATGGGATCATGGATCCAGAAGCAATTACAGAATCGGTTACCAGGGTTACTACGACTTGCTTGTGTTTGATAATGCAGCAGCTGGTGTGCAACATAACAATATAATTTGTGACGGATGTAAAAGACATGGAATTGTTGGTATTAGATGGAAATGTGGTCAGTGTCATGATTACGATCTGTGTACCCAGTGTTACATGGGGGATGTTCATGATTTAAGCCATTCATTTCAGAGATTTCAAACAGCTAATGCAGTTGGGTACGTATATTTGATTATCTATTTATTAAAAGTTTGGAGTTTTAAATTAGTTATTATAAAGTTTGAAAAGTATTGATAGATATACAAATGACGAGAAATAGAGAGGTCTAAAATATATTTTATTAAATTGAATTTATTTGTTACTATTTTTAGAAATATTCAAAATACTATAGCAGAGTAAAACAAAACCCCTTTAAATTGATTATCACCTTATAAAGCTATTTTCATTGAACTGGATGTAATTTATTCATTCCAGTGTTCAATCAAAATTATAAAAGCATAAAAATATTTATGATTGATCAACTGGAGTGGTTCATTAATTTCAAATGAAAAACTGTCCACGTTTTAATTAAATGAAATATTAATGCAGGCTTCGATTCAATAAAAAGTTAATTCTGAAAAAATAGTGATAAATCGTTATCAAAAGACATAAAAAAGAATGATTAACATCAATGAATCGATGTAGAATATTACAAGTGCTGAAATTTCCACATTTGTATTTATGGATACTTAAATAAAGTTAATTAACAGTATGGATAAGTATTGAATATTTATTTTTAAACTAATGAAAATTAAATGAATTTTGATTATAAATATCAATGCTTGAATAAAAAGTAAATGCAATTTCAGCTTGTTTTATTTTAATATTAATCTGAATTATCAATCATTAATCTTATAATGAAAAGTTTTATAATATTTCGACTTGTTGAAATTGATTAATTACCAGAGTAAAAAACTTTTAATTATCGTAATATGTATTATGATAATTTATTACATAATTTATAATTGTTAAAGAGAAAATATGTTAAAAGTTTATAATAATTATTAAATGAAAAATATTTCAAATCAATTGTTACCATAATTATTATAAATAAAAATCATTTTAGCTAGTGGTTTTGATAATTTTGAATGTTTTAAAACATTCATTTGACTATTTCTCGATATATAAATGTACAACAAAGTGAAAGGAAACACTGTCAAGCCAGAGGGAATGAAAATTAATTCCAAAGAGATATAATCTTTTTTAAAATAAATCTTCTAAAGCATCAGAACTACTGAAACTATTGATAATCAATAAATGAAGATTTTACAGAATATCTAGAATAATTTATTATCAAAAATAAGACTGACAATTGTAGTTGACAAAGATTTATATCTTATTATAAAAACTTATTCAGTAAAAATGGAATCTTTAGAACTCAAGAGTTTTCGCTTTTGTGGAAATAGGTCTCTTTTCACTTAAATGCTCTACGTTTTGTTATCTGATCTTTCGACTCATCTTTGAATAATGTCCTCTAAAAAAAAAAAATGTCAGCACATAATGTAATATTCTTGGAAAATAGATTTTCAACTCATGCTCACTATTAAGTTATCAACTTCATCGAAATCTATTATTAAGTTCAGAGTTTGTAACATTTATGATATTTACGTAATTTCTTGTTGATTAAATTAATGTTTCCGTTTGAAAAGAATTAAAAAGTTCACATGAAAAAAGTATGCAATACTCTTGAGATGAATTAAAAAATTTATTTCAAGTCATATATAAAGTTTGAAATTTATTATCATCGAAAAGAATACTCATATCAATGATTAGTGATTGATTAAAAATTATAAATAAATAAAAAAAAGAAATATTTGTTATTGATAGAATATTTTTTAATAATATAAGTTAACAAAAAAAAATTGTAATCTTGAACAAAAGTAGTATGAAACTTCTTACCTGAAACCATAAAGATTAGATATGAGTTTTCGAAAGAGCAGTCGTTAGAAAAAATGATCAGATTAAATCAAAAGTTTTGTCTAATTGAAGTATTGGTATACTTGTACGAAAAGTTAAGGTGAGTGAGATCGGTTTCATGATAGGATGATCTTTTTTAGAAAGTTACAAAAATATTCGTACTTTTGAAAACTTTAATTTTGATTGATTTATGGGTTGCTTATTTCCAACATTCATCTAATTAATTATACAGCAAAGTCTTTTTAATTATCTGAATAAAATTTTGCAATTATAACTACCTCTTTACCTTAATTTTACTGAAAAGGAATTGATTATGATGTTTTTAGATTATTGATTATCTCAGTTATAAATCCAACTTTTAAATTGAGATGAAATTGTAAATTAGGAATAATTAAACGAATTGTAAATAAAGAAAGTATCTGAAATTGAATTTATTAATTGGAAAATAATGTTTAACAGTAAAAACATGTTATTTTCTGGAATTTTTTAGTACCATGAAGATACAATTTTCAATTAAAATGAACATTTGTCTTAGAAACAAAAGAAAAACAAATTTAAACAACTTTTTATCATCTTTATTGTTTAATAAGAGAAAATTGGAGAATTATCGTTATCTCGTAATAGCTAGAAAAGTATTTAAAAATGATGTAAATTAAAAAAAAATATATATAAACTAATTGAATATTGTTTTTTCCAGGGTTCAACTAAGTCCTAGAGAAGGTTGCACAAAAATTCCACTAAAAGGTATTTTCATTGGAGCTACAGTGATAAGAGGACCTGATTGGGAATGGGGTAATCAGGATGGAGGACCTGGGAAAACGGGAAGAGTGATTGATATTCGTGGATGGGATAATGAAAGTAGTCGTTCAGTGGCAACAGTTACGTGGAGATCAGGAAGCACAAATGTTTACCGACTTGGATACAAAGGTTGCGTTGATCTTTGTTATATTGAAAAGTCTACTTATGGAACTTATTATAAAGAACACTTGCCAGTCCTTGGCCAGACAGTTATGACAATGGTTGAGGACGAAAATGCCACCGTCCAGTGCGGAAACGTATCTAGCACATCTAGTCCATGTCATTTAACATTTAATGTTGGTGATAAAGTGAAAGTTTTACGTGATGCAGAGTCACTCAAGGAGATGCAAGTTGGTCATGGAGGATGGAATCCAAGAATGGCCGATTATATTGGCAAAATTGGTACTGTTCATCGAATAACAGATAAAGGTGATATTCGAGTACAATATGAAGGATGTAACAATCGATGGACATTTCATCCACGAGCACTTACCAAAGTTACAAGTAAAGATACTTTTGTTCTTGGAGACATTGTACGGGTAAAGAGTGACGCTGCACTCGTTAAAAATTATCAACAGGGTCATGGTGAATGGATTGATGTCATGAAGAGTGTAAGTTATTACACAACAGTATTCTATGATTTTTTTTTCATTTTTATACTTTCTAAATATGTAATTAAAAAAGGTCACATGAAATCATTTTTAAAAAGGCGAGTTTTTTTCTAAGTTGATTATTCGGAAGCATAAAAATGAAGAAATGAAAAGGGATTTATTCATGAATTTGAATTATACATGTACATATTCATTATTGAAAAGCTACTTGGTAATTTATTTCAGTATAATCTAAAGTATTAATTCATTTAAAAAGATTTTAATTGTATTTTTGTATTTTAATATTTGTCATGATTAAAATTTGAAAAATTTTATTATTATAAAGCTAGAAAAAAATTTTGCTTGAAAAATATAATGATTATAATTTAAAAAATATCCTTTGCAATGACTGAACGTTACTTCACCTGGGATTTCCGTCTCTTGATAACACGCAAATCCATCTTAGGTTTATAATTTACTGCTGACAACATGGGAATATTTTTCTGCATAGAAATAACGTTTTTGGTAGTTGAAAAAGAATGCATGAAAATTATTACACGTAAATTTTTTTTTATTTAACAATATAATTATTGTTACAGGCTCTAGGAAAATTAGGAAAAGTCATAAAAATTTACCCAGACGGAGATCTTCGTGTCACATTAGACGGCCACACATGGACATTCAACCCTCTTAGTGTAGTGAAAATTGCCAGTGGACAAGGAATTAATAATCATGCGGAATCACAACGGACACAGGGTAAATTAGATAAGCTGTAATTAAATGTTTTCATGGTTTCTAAATCAAACAATAGTTGGTTTTAAAAAAAATCTGGAATCTCTACAGTAATGCATAAATTATTGCTTTTTTATTGCACAATGAAAAAATGATTTCATCGGTTATTACTCATTGATAACAGTAAAACTTAAATTAATTTATTTACATATTTTCAACAACAATAAAAAATGAAATCATCGAATATAATATTTGCAACTTTTAACAAAATACTTGAAATTAAATTTTATTCATTTATAAGAAAATTCTAGAAATGTTGCAATAGTTTTAATTTAATAAAATAATTTCAGGTACTGATCCTTCGCCAACTGATGGTGCAGCAATAGAAATAGAAAAGCTTCTTCGTGATGCAGCAAGAGGTGAAGCTGGTTTATCTGCAGTGCGTGAATTTTTACGAAAGTATTCCGGAAGTGTAGATGTACGGCCGAGTGGAATTTGTGGTGGTAAAAAAACGTTTTTACAAGTTGCTGCTCATCAAGGTAATCGTGAACTATGTGTTCTTCTGCTTGATGCCGGTGCATCACTTCGGGCCGTAGATGAAGATGGTGATCCACCGTTACATTATGCTGCATTTGGGTTTGTGAAAAAAATTTAAAAGCATTTTTGATCATTTACTCATCTAAAAGCTACATGATTCATGGAAATACATGTTCTTGTATAGGAATCAAGCTGGAGTGATGGAGCTGCTATTGAGTAGAGGAGCGCCAATAGATGCTGTGAATAATAGTGGTTGTACTGCTCTTCACGTGTCTGTTAATAAAGAAAATACAGCATGCGCGCAGGTGTTGCTGCGTCATGGTTGTAACGTGAATCTCCAGGATTCTTATGGTGACACTGCACTACATGATGCTATTAGCAAGGATACCACTGAGATCATGGACGCATTAATAAATTATGAAACGGTTGATTTCATAGTGCAAAATAAACGTGGATTTAATGTTCTCCATCATGCTGCATTGAAAGGAAATGCACAGTAAGTAAACACAAATTTATTTTATCATTGAGACGATTATTAATTAATTATTCAATATTTCTTATAATGTTATTTTTTCTTAGTGCAACAAGAAAACTTATGATGAGAATTCAACATCTTGTTGATGTAAAAAAAGATGATGGTTTTGCAGCTTTGCATCTTGCTGCTCTTAATGGCCATCGTGAAGTTGCTGCATTATTATTATCAGATACTGGAGGTAGAGCAACAGTAGACCTTAGAAATAATCGAAAACAAACTCCTCTGCATTTAGCTGTGTCTCAAGGACATTGGGCGTTGGTGGAGCTCCTTTTAAAGCATCATGCAGATATTTTAGCAACTGATGAAGATGGAGATACAGTTTTGCATATAGCTATTGCTAAAAGCCGACATCAATCAGCAACACCTACTAGTGAAAATCAACGTGATGCTCCGATGATAAATGCGGTAAATTAATTTTAGTATTGTTTTGAAATTCTATTTATGTAGATAAAAAAAAACTCTATGGCGAATGCATTTTTTTTTCAGATTTGGCAGGATTTAACAGCTCAAAATGGACCAACGGAATTGACGCTTGCATGCTTTCTCGTCAGTGTAGAGAATTATGGTTCGTTTTTAATGCAAACAAAGAACTCGAAAGGAAAAACACCGTTAGATCTTGTACCTTCAGAGAGATCAGATCTTAACGTAGCTGATTTGCTACGTTCATACTTTCATTTCCGTCGTAGGCATGCTCCTGAAATTGAGTAAGTTAATTATTTTAATTAAATAATGACTCATGGAATTTGGACAAATGTAATCAAGTTTCTTTCATTTTTGTAGGAGACCTACTGCTCCACCAACCATTGAAGAATCACCCAGCTATACTATCACAGCAATAGTTGAAGGGAAAAATGAAGACTGCAAAAATGGTCCTCACAAATCAGGTATATACCATAGAAATTTATTAATTTTATTATCGAAAAATAGTTTTTACTATTTAATTATAATTTTATATAAATGATTATTTTGTAGGAAATGTTTCGACAAAGAGAGACAGTCCTGTAAAAGCTGAAGAAAGATTACAAAGCGATGAGGTAACTAAAAAAGAAGAGAAAAAGGAGAGGGAAAAGGATAAAGACTTGGAGAGACTACGTTACCTAGAAACAAGAGTAGCTGATCTTGAAGAAGCAAATATGTGCAGTATTTGCATGGAACGAAGACGCAATGTAGCATTCCTTTGTGGACATGGTGCTTGTGAGCATTGCGCAGCACCTCTTAAAACATGTCACATGTGTCGGAAAACTATTACCAAAAAGATCAATCTTTATTAGATAATTTGATTTTTATACTTGTAAAATTCCAACTGCCAAACCCAATTATATGATAGTAATTTTTGCCTTTTGATGCTACTCGTAGCTCAAATGAATTTTTCTATTGTGAGCGATGTGCCATAACCGAAGGAACGAAAGCGATATTTTATTCGCTTTAGATCCTTTAATTAATCCCTCGTTGAAGATTTTTGTATACGTAACATATTTGTAAACTATTTTTTTTAATGCGTACTCTTAATTTTTCGATATTCTTTTTAACCATTTTTCACATGTACTTCCACTCGTGCGAATATTGACCAATTAATTGATAAATGTCCATTTTAGAGCCTATTTTTGACTACTTAATCATCTTTTTCTCTCATTGCTCTATGGTACATTCTCGTAATTATCAAAAATTTTAACTAAAATAGAGTTTTCGATGAATTTAAAATAAATGTGGCGTAATAAAAGGAATTTATGATCTGTTTTTAATATTGACCATGATTAATCATTTGAAAAATAATGGTGTTTAATACCAAATAAATTATATATAAATTTTTTCGCAATAAATGACAGGGAAATATGTCATTTATGATCGAATTTCATGAAAAATATGTATACTTAATAATCCAATATATTTGAATGTTCAATTTTTATCGTCTCCGAAAGGATTTTTTAATCTTTTTTCCAATAAATAATGGCCAAGAGAATTTACAATAAATGTATTGTAAAATGATATTAATGATAGTAAACTAAATTTATACATGGAATAAATATTAGACTTAGTTTGAAATAAATATGTTTAAGTTATATTAATACATGGTTCTTTTTTATTTTCATCAATCGTTGCCTAAATATGAAACTTGGTGTGTATTTTTTTACAATTATACATAAAAGACAATATTAACTACGAAAAATAATGTTGAATAACACTTATTTTCTAAATTTCAACTTATAACTTTCAGAAGTAGAAGCGATTAATTAAAGAAAAGCGATTATTTCATAAAAAAATTTATTATATTCTAAACTAATAAATCGTCCGAAGAAATAATCGTTAACTTCTAATTAATTGGAAAAATTTCCCAATTAAACGAATAACATTATAATTAAATTGACAGAAAATTATTCAAAATATTGTCAGACTAATGTAATCTACACAATTTATTTTAACATAATTTCCAAGACATTTTTAAATGTTGGAAATTAATTAATCTATCGTAAAAAATACGCTTATAACATTTTTTTCAAGAATATATGAAATATTTACACGATAAAAATGATACAAATAAAAACTTGAAGTGCTTATTTATTTCAGAGAAAATTTTTTAAACTTCAGTTTTATTTTTTATTTGAAGTTATAAATTTTAAACGCTACTATTTCGGCAATTTTTTTTAACAAAAATCATACACAACCCACCTATTAACGTAGAAAAGGTTTACATAATTTACATAAGACCGATTAATAAGGCAAGAGGTACAAAAGAAAGTCATAAATTGGACTTAGCAAGCAATCTTATTTATTTTGGTACTCGATAGGTTCGGTATTTATATGATACAGTATTGAGCCAGTTTGCAAAACTGTAGTAATAGTTAATAATAATGACAGTAGTAATAATAATTTTTCTAAATAACCTAAAGTAGTATACTATAAGGTGATACAATGTTTATAATAATACCTAATAAACCTCAACGAATGTGTGGCTCCAAAGCCTATTGCGTAGACAGGATCGTCTAAATTCTACCTACAGAATGATCCATATTTTCACTTTTTTCATCTTTTCTCAGTTTATCTTACTTAAAAATGTTAACTTGAAAAACTTTACTACAAATTCTTGTTGCAAAATCGATCGTACAACGTCGAGAATGCAAAGCTCATGAATTCTTTGAATTCAATGATGAAATCTATAGACTTTTATTACTTACTCTTCGCACTCATTCATCATAAAGTATACAAATTAATAAATGAACAAAAAAAACGGCAATTTTACTAAAAAAGACAACGATTTCCTTTACATTAAGAATTGAAACAGACAAAAAATTCAAGGAAATTAATAATTGTTTAGCTATACACTCAATAATAACAACGACATTGCCAATTCATTGCAAAACTATTAATCATCAATGTGTATCAAATCGCATTTTACGTAAATGAATTACAACTTAATTAACTACATTATAAACTACATAAATCGAGCATGACGATTAAGAAAATATCGATGCGAATTCTATTATTATCTGTGTATATAGTATTCGCAGAGATATTAATTCTAAAAAACTTTGTAGTTATTAATCACCGCTCGTCTTCGACATTATATTCCCCACATTCGGCACGTCCCGACTCCTTTATCATTATTTGTGATAATTATTGTCGGACATAAAGGTTCGTATCGAAGGGGGAATAATCATTGCACTGATTTAATGATAGTCACCAATTTATTAATAATAATCCATCGCTCGTAACGTGTCACTCTTTTATTTTCTTACAAATCATACATCAGCATTCACCGCTTTCCTGATGAAAAATATATCTACTGTGTGGATGTTGATGTTAACTTGAATATTTATATGAACAGTAGGAGAATTAGATGACCAACACAACTGGTAAAGTTGAACATTTTATTGTCAGCTAGACCGGGTCGAATGCGGGATGAAGATTAAATAGACGTTGAAAGCCATATTAGGCAGTTGAACTGCAGTGGACGAACGATACAATTGATCCAGCTACTGATGTAAGGATACTTGTGCGCGTACGCACTGATTTCAAGCCACTACAGGTTCCGGACTGCAAGGCTGTAGTTCAGGTTCATTTTGTGGCTCTGTAGGATTAGTGCCCGATGCACTACTTGACCCCGACGTTGTGTTTGGATCATGATTTGGGTCTGGAGTAAGAGCCGCCCACTGCGTCGTATAAGGCGCGGCACGAGCCTGTCGCCTTGCTTTCCGCTTGGCTCGTCGTTGTTCCATCACAAGGCGCAGCCGTCGCATTTTCCCCTTGGTTGCTTCATTTTCCCTTGATAACTCTTCTGTTAAGACAAACAAGAAACCGTTGATTATTATTTAAAGCCAATCTTTGGATTTTTAGATTTTTTTTTTCATCAAAGTAAGTAATGAAAAATTTACCCATAGAGTATCCTGGTGTAGAAGAATCTTGATAGCTGCCGCTAGGTGATATTGAACCACAAGGGATGCTTGTGGAATTCGAAGAGGACGTTGATGATTGTTGACGATTGCTGGTATGTCGATGATGATGCCTGTAATGACTAGCACTAGCAGCAGGAGTTGCGCATAATAAATCATTGAGAATGTGAATGATGGTACTGATATCTCGTTTAGGTCGGCCATGTCGATCCTGAAGAGCTGGATTTAGTGTACCACTAAAAGTACCAGAATAAACGCCTTTCCCATGATGATGCATACTCTCAATTATCGCTCCTTGTCTACGTCTAGCGTTTTCCTGTTAAGAATAAAATAATTTTATTAAATTAGCTGAATGTAAATAACAGATATTGTGTTTATTAAAAATGACACAGGGGAACTGGCTTCGGTAAATATACCTCGGCTAGGTCGACCCGCGAGGTGAGTACCTCAGAGGATAGCTGTTTAAGTTTCTGCGTAAGGTTTCGGGATGCCTCAGCGAGAGCCCGAGTGTCAAGAGTAGCAGAGGCAACTTTGCTGCTTGTGGAAAGACCCATAATCGAATTGCTTGGACTTTGTGGGTTAGAATCACAGTCAGGACTTCTGGTCATATCTGCTTGTAAATGATGATGGCCCATAGTGCAGAGTTTTTTCTTTGGTGGAGTGCAATGTGTCGATGATGTATCTTGACTTGTCGTAGGTGATGATGCGAGGTCCGAAAGGCTTGTGAGTGAAGAGGTAGACGTTTGTACGGATTTACAAGATGTAGAGGCTTGCTCTTTTCTTGAATGATGATGATGATGGTGATGATGATGATAGTGATGATGATTGTGACGATGTCGAAGGTGTACCAGGTGATTGTGCCAACGTAATCTTGAAGCAATTGATGGTGAAGAAGGTCTCGAGTAAGTTGACGAAGAGGTGGGTGACGATGCGACGCGTTCACTGGCGCTTGGGTTGGTTGTGGTCATAGCTGTAGAGAGGTTGTTGCGGCAGCAAGCGTGAAATGCTGAGGCGAGGCTGCTTAATAACGCCGAAGTTCCGGCGGGTGTGTTCCCATACTGCTTGGTGATGCGCATCGATCGGACGAGGTGGTCGCTCAAATTCTTGTGTAAGGAGGACATAGACAGTGGATCGAAACTGGATTTCGACGTCGATGACGTCGAGTTACCAATTGAGGAACTGGGTGTGGTATTTTCACAAGGCGATGACGAAGAAGAGGAAGTTGATATTGATGGCGATGACGACGATGACGGTAATGATGATGATGGTGATGACGACGACGACGTCGGTGATGATGATGATGATGATGATGATGCTGGATTACTTGACATGGCAACACCAGCAGAGGGATCTACAGAAGTAGCAGGTGGCGATGCTGGAGTTACAGTTGAAAGTTGCAGCTGAATCAACATCATCTGGTCGCCAAGGCGCATCGTCAAATTCAGTGGTGCTTTGCCAGATAAGAAGTCATTCACCTGTGAGTCATTGAGACTCTCCAACGCTTGCATTACACTCTGTTCTGGGCGTTGTCCCTGTAACAAGAAACGAACAACTTGGTGAATTTAGGTCGAGTATTAATGCTATCAAAATATTAGCATAGAAACGCATCACGATCAAACAATTGCATTTGATCAATTCCGTGACCATGGAAATTTAACATTTGATCAAACTTTACATAGCTGTTTATTATACATACATGTATAATATTTATCAATTGATTTAAAACCACCAGAAGAGTTATCTTTTTCAATTACTTGAATGAAAGTCTTTATGTAGGTGGTATACACAAGCGCCATGCAATTTGACGAGTCGCGACCGCAGCAGATTCCAACCGCACATTTGAAATACAATGCCCTTTACAGCCACACCGAGGATGACGCTAATCGATGCGGCCATACTATAAGAGATCGAATCCCAAGAAGACCCTGCATAGAGAGGAAACCTCGCGGGCATTGAAGCTCTTCCGTTCTCCCCGGGGCATCACTCGGCATCCCTGGCTGCCTCGAAACACCTAACGGACTTCCTTTCGTACAAAGTCTACTATACTCATGTACTGTAATTCGATTTGTTTCAACAACTTTAATATTCCCCCCACAAAATTAGCCAACTAATGACCTATAGCCACGAAGCCCACGTATAGTAATGCACTAAATCAAGCTGAAAAAAATTCTCTCTTTTTTTTTATTCCTTTTCCCTAACAAATGAAACGTAGGAAGATACTTGATGTATATCACTAGCATCAAGGGAATCAAGAAAAAATCATCTTCTCTCTTTCTTGTAGGGGCGTCGTCGGCGCCAATCGAGAGCCAAAACTCAACCTGCTATCCCACGTCCGGTAGAGACATCCAACGTGTCACATCCCGGGGGCACTAATACACATCAACTACACAGCCACAGACAAGTAGCAGAGCATAGCAGCAGAATAGAGAATCAAGCTGCGAGAGAGTACGGACCTACGCCTTCTCTCCCACCCACGTTTTATCTCGATCCACGCACACTAGTACTTTGGATTCTGCTCCACTCTAGTCCTATCTCTCTTGCTCTCAACATACAATCAAGTCTCTTTGGACCCCTGGCGTGTGCAAAGAACGACCCTACATATGTATATGTGAGTGAGCTTGCTTCCACGGTGCATCGACTTTCCATGGCCATGCCTTCGACTACCAACGAAATGGGTGCTCTCTCACGGGATTCTACCCTAAAGATACATAGGCTAATTTTTTAAAAATTCTCCAACGCTTTGTAGCTACTCTGATAAATATTTCTCTCTGCATAAACGTTATTTCCATAGTTCAAATGATCACGTTAGGTTTTATATGCTGATTCATTCGGTATTTATATAACGAATCAACTTTTTTCGAAGAAAACATTTGCTTTACAGTTTCAGTTGAGATAAATTGCTGGAAAAAAATAAAGTTGGTGAATATGAATTTAAATGATTCATCTTTTTTTATTATTACAAATACTTTTAATTAACAGGCAATCCAATTACTTAAATTAATTAATAGTATTGTATTCTTTCATCAGCTTTGTTGCAATGGAACTCCAATAACTCCTCCCAAATGGGAAAATTCTAAAAATAGGAAAGTACTTCCTATTCATTCTAGAGAGTGACAAATGTTAGATAAAGATGAATAACATCATGTGATTCTTGAATATACAGTTGTATTTTTCGTGGCATGGGTCACCACAAAAATAGGGAAATCCTTCTCCAGAGGGAGAATCATGATAAAGATATATATTCCCTTCATCAATGATACTTTCAAAACAGCATTCACAAATAATAAATCAATAGCAAGAATTAGAACCTCAATATCAAATGAATCATTTTGCAGTTATTTAATTGGTCTTTGATTAAAATCATCACATGGAAATGAATTTGTCAAGCTTCTAGATGATGATCATCAATGCCGAATCCAAACTCAACATGATAGCTTTCTAATTGAATTTGCTAATCATATTTATGATAATAATGTATAATTACGTTTAATATTGGTTTATACTGTAATGAAAGGTAATATTAATCCAAAGTCATATTTCAATTTAGATCATTAAATGATTTGCCAATTCACTAGGTAGGTGTTCATTTCTTTGCTGCTTATTTGATTAAAGCTATGAAAAGTGAATATATACAAAGTAATTTATTTACTAATTCCCTTAAATACATGATTGCAAATCATTTTTGTTCCCCTAGATGTTACAATATCATTTGAAATCAGTCTTTAAGGCAGGGCTGTAGCCACATTTCCCCTAGAAAATTCCTAGCACAAGTTCTTGGCAGGAGATTGATGTTTTGTCTCAATTCAGGTATTAATTGAAAGTTGAATTTATATTCTAGGGTGGAAAATACCAATTTTGTTGATATAATTAGTTTATAATAGTTTAAAAGAATAAATTTATATGATAAAAACGAATAAATAATTTATAATTGGCCAAAAATAATTTAAGGTGATTTGAGGTTAGTACAGTCCAGCTTTAATATTCTATCATTGACCTCAAAGTTTTTTAATCAAATATCAAATCACATCAATAGAACGAACAACTGGTTTCTTAATACAGTAAAGTGTAAACAGGTTTTTTTTTAGATAGAAAATTACATAAAAGTTTTTTTTAATAACAATCAAAATTGATTTTAATTAGTAAACAGAAAACTAATTTTCGAACCACGACCATTTGTAGTCTAGATTAAAAAAAGTTTTGTTTTAACGTGAATTGTGTTGATAAAACAAATAAAATGATTCACTTGAATGAAGAATTTCCAATCAATTAATAAATCCTTATAGAGCTTTTATAGTTTTGCACTTTAGAACCAGTTAGAAACCTTGATGAATCAGGTGGTATATTTATTGTCTCCTTTAAACCAATTACATTTTATAATCAAGTATGTGTGTATATAAAAAAAGCAATGTAATTGCTGATGTAACATTTAAGTAGTTTTACATTTTCAGAAATAATCATTTTAATCCAACGATAATGATTAAATGAAATATCAAAGACACTGATATAAAACCACCACGTAAGCATATAGGTTATATTATTATATTAAAAGCCAAGTAAGTGTTACAATAATTTATCTCACGAATATAATCATGATTTATTTCTATCAACAAAAAGCTAAAAATAAAGAAAAATAATTTAGCAAGTTATTTATAAAGTCAACTTGAATAAATTTAAATTCAATCTCAGTATCATAAATTGTTAACGAAACTTTATTTATTAAAGTTAGCAATGTAAATGTTTGGTTAATAGAGATTTTTTCTTCATGGAAACAAATAGAACGTCATACCTATGTACAAACATTTCTTTTTCAAAGAAATTTTCGACTTTTGTTGTCGCGTTAAATTTAAAGAGAGAGTATTAAAGAGAACAACGAATGTACCCAGGATAAGCACGTATGTAAACATGATTCGCCTACGAAGTTGTCACAGTGTTGATGTTGAACGACAATGAAGTCTTGGTGTATACAGACGTATTACTCAGCGTTCACTATATTCATTTGTTTTGTTTTGCTCAATGTTTCTTTTTCACTTTATTTGCTGGTGTTGATAAGCCATGTTTATTACACGTTTAAGTACACTTGAAGTAGACGAATATACCAAGAATTAAAATGAAAAAGTAATTCCATCATCAACAATGATAACAATAATAATAATCAGGAATAATAAGTCAGTTTTAGGAGCATATACAAAGCCATCAACTTTCGTTTTCATTGAATAATACTCTTAAATACATTGTTGAAGCCAATAAAGTATCATAACGAAGAAAAAAATATTTATTAAATTAGATTATACACCGGGCAAAAATTCTCACGCTCTTTATACAATATATATCTCGCGATCTGTTACAATAATTCCTTGAGAGTTGGATCAGTGTTGGAACCCTTCTTTGTCCTGGACCATGAAAACACCACCTACGGGCGTCCCTGAGTGAAAGAATAAACGGATACACAGAGAGCCCGGTGTTCAGACCAGACGTTTTAAAATTGACCACGAACATGTATATAGAGAGGACGGGAAGGAAAGAGGCTACGTCCCCTCCCTTTGACAGCCAATAAGCCAAGAGAAGCAGAGTCACGAGGGTGACGACGATGACGATAAGGACCTCGCGACGTTGCCACAATTCTTCTTCTCAGCAGCATCAATGGTATGTATTTGCTGGTGCTCTTCAATTTTTATTTCCTAACTCACCCTCTCACCGATGTGGCTTTAAAAAGGCTCTTGCTTCATTGCAGAATACAGACTCCAGTGTGTTGTTAAGTCCAGATCCTTTCCATGGTATTTCTCACGGCTGCTGGCTCCACTAGACCGTTTCGTAGCAGGCTTTTTCATTGTACCAATTGGGGACTGACGCCACCTTATGAATCCTCATTGTTGAACGGAAACGGAACAGCCGTGTGTACCATCGACATGAATGTTAGCTACGAATACTTCCACTCTTGCGTTTAGAGCTAAATATATATCTAAATAACGACAAGAATGTCTTTCACCCTATGCCCTGAGGTAAAAAAATACGTCAGCTTGGATAGTTTTCACAAAAAGATGAAGCAAGATGGAGATAAGGAAAAAAAATGTTCCTTTCCTCCCCCTTTTTGTCTGTTTGAGTTTTATATTGTCTAACTACCATAACTCATAGATATATAGATGTAAGTATATATACCTAGGCTTTTATAATCAAGATATGCCTTTTTTTTGTTGATGTTTTCACTTTTCATATCGCTATTTGTGAGGCAAAAAATCAATTTCACGTTGGGTTGGCTTCGTGATAGGTGAGTTTTAATAAATCACTATTATAACATACTCTCTTTTATTTAGTTCAATAATTCATTGAAATATTCTTGCAGAAATTATCATTGGAGATCATTAGGAATAATGATGACTTGTTGGTGAATTATTTCATAGACATAAGGTATTGCTAATTTATTTTTAATGGGAAATTAATGATCTGATTGTATTGATTTTTTTAATAGATACTTTGCAATATTTATTTTTTTTTTTTTTTCACTACTTATCTAATATTCTAGATTTATCATGAT